GAATGTGGGAATTCATCCCTGCCTTGCCGCATTCATGCTGTAGCTAGGCACGTTACGCTCAGCCAATAGTATTGTAATTTACCAGCCAATAGTATTGCAACTTACTCAGCTAATAGCATTGTGCTTCACCTGTGTAGCCATGTAGGGCTTGTGACCATGTGTAGCAATGAGTGCGCTTCCTGTTGCCCGCGCCTGCGCATAAGCAATCAATAAGCCTTTGTGAATCCTGCGCTTGCGCACAATCAACTAGGGTGTTCACTGCTTTACTCGATGGCTATTGGATTACGCAAGTATAAATGTATCAATCTGTGAAATAATAAAAAGGGCTGCTTGTGTTGACGCAGCACGAATTTTCTGCGAAGATCTTCTTTGTTCTCCCGAACAACCAACCAACCATGCTTTGAAACTTTATCTCTCGTCTGCAGTGTTTTATTTCTCTCTCTGAACTCTCTCGCACCAATTGTCGAGCTGGATCTCGACAACAGAAGCTATTTTCTGTGTGTTTATCTCAAGGGATGGATCAAAGAGGCTTTTTTTCCACAGGAAAAGAGTTGGCCATTTCCTTGTTATGGGATCCTTTTTGTCCTAGAAAGCCTAACCTTAACATACACAACTATAATATTCTTCCTGTGGGTTTTTTAAATCTTTCCACTGTCAGTAGCTTTGCAGCATTCACTGAAAATTGCAGTGTGACTTGTCTAGGAAGGTTGAAGTCATTTCCTACTTCCATTATTCAGCTGTAGCAATCAAGTGAAAATGGGACTGGCATGTGACTTGGGAGAGCCGGTGGCTGAAATCATGTTGACATTCTGAATGTTGTTAAATGATTGCTGTTCTTGCTCTTTTTCAGATATAGATGAATGTGCAGTATCAGCAGGGATCTGTGGAGAAGCTCGGTGTAAAAATTTGATAAGTTCTTACATGTGTGTTTGTGAAGATGGTTACATATACAATGATGTAAAAAAGGTTTGCCAAGGTCAGTTGATGGAACTACTTCCATTAAGGTTATTTTAAAGCTTGAAATTTGTCACTGTTGCCTTGTAGGGGTTTTCACCCACCCACCTTTACTAGTTATGTAAATCTCCTAAGACCCATTGATTTTTGAGTTGCTGTTAGTGTAACCAGGGTTTTCATACACATTATCACCAAACTGATGCCTTGGTCATTAATGAGCATAAGAAATAAAAGAACCTGGGATTATCTTTTGAAGCTGATTGGTGAGACACACAAAAGGAAAGATAAAGGAGCATACTCCCTCATTCCAGGCATTGTTAAACTATGGAATTTACCACCAGAAGATGTAGCTATTGTCACCAGTTTGGATGGTTTTAAAAGGGCTTAGACAAATTCATAGAGGAGGAAGAGATCAGTGGCTGCTAGTTCTGATGCTAGTTTGGATTGGGGTGTCTAAGTGAAAAGGCAGACAAGTATTATTTATTGCGTTTTTTACATTTGGGGTGGAGAGAGTCCAGTCTCAGTGGCTTGACTGGCCTTGATAACTGTTTGCCTTGAGGTATCAGGGGTGGGGGCAGTAAAATTTCTTGTGCCAGCTCTGCTTTAAAATGTGGAGACCAGTGCTTCGAAGGGATTTTTTTTACTTCCCTTCATTTGCCTGGACCAGTGTTTTCTCATTTCTGGCTTCCTGCAGCAACACATTCTTCTATTTAAAAAAAGCTCTTCTGGGTATTGACTATTCAGCTTTGATAATGCTGCTGTTGGGAGTTGATAGAGACAGGATCCATGGCTGTTTTTGCAATCTAATACAAGTCTGCAGTTTGAGTGAATGTGGCTTTGCTTGTGCTTATTTGGGTTACATGTTTGCTTTAAAAAAGGTTTGCCTGGCAACTTAATCTACATTTCCTTCATCACTGCAGTGTTTCTGGTTATAATTAAGAGTTCTTTCCTTTGATGTAATGGAATGGGCATAAATGTGGAAAGATTAAGGTTCCTCTACCCACTTCCTGGGCAGTATATCCCACTGAATTCAATGCAATTAATTTCTGAGTAGACACTCAGTTCTGTTACTTTGGAGTTCTGTTACTTCTGGAATTCTTGGTTACTTGTGTTTCTATCACCTGTGATTAACTTCTAGTAATTCAGGCAATAATTTTATCCTTATCTATCTGGGCATAAGCCTCAGAAGTAGACAGCACAGAAGGTGCTATGTGTGGCTGTGGGTTTTATGTACTTGGATCTTGAGGACTGAAATATCTTCCTGCAACAGTAAACTAGAGTTCTTTACAGTGGCCTTCCCCCAATCTGGCACCTTTCAGATGTGTGGGACAACACACGTCACCCTAACCAGCAGGCCACAGGCTGAAAATAATGGGTATTATAGTCCAGCACTGCCAGAGAGCTCTATGTTGGGGAAAGTAGCTGTGGAGGAAATAAGGTACATTTGATAATACTTACACTTACCATATAAGTATTGAGATAGTTTAAGAATAAGACATTTAAAGACCCAGAACACAAACAATCTTTTAAGCAGAACATAAGAACCTGTGTCTCTTTTTCCCTTTGGTGCTTCTTTGTAGATGTGGATGAATGCGAACAGAACTTCTGTGAGCAAACGTGTGTCAATTCACCGGGAAGTTACACCTGCCACTGCAATGGAAGAGGTGGAGTTAAGCTCTCCAGTGACATGAACACCTGTGAGGTAGTGTTCTTAATTCTTAATTCCAGTGAGCAGAACTATAGGGAAACAATCTCAAAACTTTGGAACAATGTAGTATAAAGGGGGATAGTTCAGCTAGCTCAGTTAAATACCTTCCTTACTATTTAAAAAACCCAATAATTTGTTGCTAACTTTCCCACCAAAGGGAACACTGAACATGGAAACAGGAAATGGACTTGTGTCAGTTCAGACTGTATTGTTTGTTCTGACTGACATTAGCTTTCCAGGGGCTTCAGCACTACTCTTTCACATGACCTGCTACATGCTCTTTTTCATCATGGATTTCTTGTAGCTCCCTCTGTTACCTGTGCCTACACTTACATGCCTACAAGTGGAAATGGATGATTGCTAAACATGCCGTCACCAAGTATTTTCTGTGGCATTATGAACAGGAGGACCGTCTGTAGTATCCAGCAAAGCTATAAGCCCAGGGTTGTAGAGCCACTGAATGATTCATGTTTGAAGATACTGATTCAGGAAGTCCAACCACTGGAAAATGTTGCAACTCTATTGCTAGTAGGTGCCAGGTAGCTGAGTAATGTACTAGTTTCACAGGTTGCCAGTGTTTTTCTGGGCCTAATTGAAAGTGCTGGTATTGGACTTTGGAGCACTAATGATTTCCATATAGCATGAAATGCCACCTACACCCATAAGAATGTGTCTGCTTTGAGATCAGAATCAGTGGTCGTGTTCATATGACCAGCTGTAAGAACAATGAGGCTGGCAGGCAAGAGGGATAGGACCTTCGCAAGCAGCGGCCTCCTGCTTGTACAGTCCTCTTCCAACTGATTTCCACCAGGCCCCACCATTATGGGCCTCAGCAGGCCCTCCGAACTCTCCTCAACTTTGGCATATAATTGAATTAGGATTGAGGTGGTTGTAAATCCAATGCCATCTGGTCTTAATTTTAAATTTTGATGTTATGTTTTTAAGTTTTTTGTGCACTGGCGTGGGGTGGGTAAATAAATGTCAGTTATTTTTGTTTGTTTATTTGTCTTTCACCTGTCTCTGAACAGTGTATTGAAAAGCTTGTGTGTGTTTGGCTTTTCCCCTCTGTAGGATATTTTGCCATGTGTATCTTTTGCTACTGCAAAAAGTGTTAAATCCCTCTATCTTGGAAGAATGTTTAGTGGTACACCAGTCATCAAACTGCGTTTTAAAAGAAAACAGCCTGCACGGTAAGAATCAGTTTTTAATTAAAAGAGAATCCTCTCCTTTCTACATACATGGTGATCTTGGCATGGTAATAGTGTCTTATCAACATTTTAGATGAAAATCTTGAAGAGTGTCTGCGGCTAGAGGCAGACATAACTAGAAGCAGAAGTGTTTTGTCTCTGTGTGCTTTATTTTTCTGTTGAGGAAAAACTCTGGCTTCTCTATGCTTTTGCTGTTTTGCTGGTTCCTGCTTCTGGCACTGTAGTGAAAACTGATTTGTAGCATGTAGTGATGGGCAAGTAGCAGGCCAGGGTTTTGATTTGGTTTTGATGGGAAGGGGTTTCTCACAAAAGATCTGGCATGGTTATCTAATTCAGAGTTTGTTTAGTGTTTTAATATATGTTCCCCAGCTTTTCAAGCACTGAAAATTAGTTTGGGTGAAGGGAGGAGAGCCAGCAAGGACATGATACAAAGACCACTGAATCCGGGTTCTGCTGTGAGAAGTGAAGTTGCTTTATCATTGAGAGGAGAGCTACAAATGCAGCTTCTCCAGAAATTGAAAAAAAAGCATGCTCACCACTGAATTTGTCTATCTCCAGCTTAATTTAACTGTTGCAGCTAAACGCTGTCAATGCCAGTAGTCCTCGAGAAAAATGCAAGCTGTCATTTGTCAGACCAAAATAAATAAGTTGCCTTAAAGGTGCCACAGAATTCTCTGTCATTTGTGTAACCAAGGTTTTACAGTTATGGTATGCGCAATCGTGCATACTCACTAAGGAGCAAATTGCACTGAATTTAGTAGAGCTTGTGCATTAAGAAACTTGTGGCATTACTTGACATTCCTGGGTTTCTTACAAAGCCGTTTGCAGACACAGTCAACCATCCTTTCATGTCCTTAGCCAGTTCTGGTCTGTGTTCAACACAATTCTTTGTGATTTTGAATATATTCTCTCACACACATTCTCGCCTCCACCCCGGTCATCTCTCAAGCTCTCTCTGTCTGTGGGTATTATGTTGAATTCCTTTACGTAGAAGGAATACTGAAGCGCTCTTCCCAAGCTTCCTGTGTGTACCATGTGCTTATGGGGAAGGAGTGGGTGGGAGGCAGGAACATACTACTGGATCTGCCCATGGCTGCCTATAAAAGGAAAACCAGTGCATGTACACCTTTGAACATGCATAGGCCTTTGCATGACTGGGCACTTTCATGCTCAACCACATATCCGGATTGCTTGGAAATCTTCATGCATTCAGCTGTATGCATGCAGCTTTCCCTTTTGCAGATTTTTGCCTGAACACGTGGAAGTGCAGAATATGAAGCTAGTGGCGTGCACGGTGCTGGTGGCTGAGCCAGCAGCTCAGTCCCACTTTAGTCTCTGTTCTCTTCCTCTCACAGGAAGATTTCGTAAAGAGGCTGAGGGTGCTTAACAAGTCTTCCAATATGTATTGGTACAAGTGAGAACTTGCAAGCGTTAATTATGGTAAAAGGGAGAAAAACAGGCTGGGAAGGCCCACCAACACCAGTCTCCCTTTTCCATTCTCCTTTTCACTTTCCATTAGTAGTCTTTAAGGTTCTGCAAGCCCCCGTTGTTTTGCTGAGACAGATCTACACAGCTACCCTTCTTTCCCTTCATGATTCTCATCATCTTGTCTGTCTTGGCAGTCTCAGTTGCTCTTGCACCAGTACATGCATTTTAGGAACGTTCCTTCCTTACTTCCTGGTATGGTTGCCAAGGGGAAGTGTAGAGAGCTGGTTGAAATCTTGCATTACTTTTTGTCAGGCCTTTGGGAATGAGTGGTTCTTTGCCTTTGCCTTTATTACAGACTTTGTAAATATCTGTGGAAACTGCCCCAAAATGTGCACGTTGCTATTTATAAGGAATGCTATTTAGCAGCAACAGTGTAATTATGCGTTCTCTGTACATATATCTCATTATTATTGATTCTCTGAATCAGTGCCCCTATATAGAAGGCACACTGTGTTTTTTGCTTCCTCAAACATTGCATAACTCCACTTTTTATCTTTTTGGTGGTCAGTCTTGTGGCTGAATTCGACTTTAGAACCTTTGACCCTGAAGGTATTCTTTTCTTTGCTGGAGGCCATCGAGACAGTACATGGATAGTATTGGGTTTGCGGAATGGACGGTTAGAACTGCAGCTGAAGTACAATGGAATCGGCCGTGTGACCAGCAGTGGACCAATGATCAACCATGGAATGTGGCAGACAGTGGGTATAGTACAAACTGCTGTTCTTAAACTTATAATGCTTAAGTCCAGTTGGCTCCATCTCTACCAAGTTTAGATAGGCAAGAACTAATGTTCTCCTAAAAGTGGATTTTGATATTATTCTGGCATCTTTTAAAGAATGTTTTGTTGTGACTTTATTGCATTGTTAACTTGTACGTTGCTTTCAAGGTTCTGGTAAGGCAGAAAAGTGATACACACATGTGCATAGATACACAGACATGTGCATGCACATACACTCATTTAATAATTATTTCTTAGACTTGGAGCTCCTTGCAGTTCTGCAAAGGTGCTTTCTGGAATTTAATCTTTGATGCAGAACACCATTTTATTTTTCTAAGAGTTTGTGTTCATTGCGAGCCTCCAAATTCTGTTTTGACTGGGCAGTCCTACACATGCCTACTCAAATATATGTGCTGTTGAATCCAATAGAACTTACAGGACCCAATACACTAAACTGCTTGCAAACTATTTCACTGTGGAATCAATAGGGGTTGTTGAGACAGCCTTCTTATTTAATAGATAAAACATGTCTGCAGCAGGACTTCTGCTAATATTTCAAGTTACACCCAGTCATGTCTGGTTCAGTTCCTTAACATTCACCCCAAAAATAGTTGTCTCCATTCTGCAGGGTATATGGTAGAATTTCAGAAAACCCTAAGCATAAAGTTGGCTTTCATGCAGCTATTTTCGATATATGATTGACATAAAAATCTTAAGTAGACAACATTTGGTTTCATGGCAATTCCTAAAGAGTATGGTGGGCTGATGGGTGTCTAAAATGATGAATTGCCTAAATGTATTTGTTTAAAAATAGTTAAGACTTGCAATGGAAAATATCTAATGCAGCTGACATGTGCAGGGTTGACAGCTGCAGCAGTCAGATCAGAATTTCTGAGTTACATAATGGTTTTCTCAACCTCAGTGAAGCAATGCCAGTTTGAAAAAACAAACATTGCCTTTATAAGAATTAATTGCAGATTTTCACCCTGTTGATTGGAAAAGTGATGATTTTGCCTGGAAATACAGGGGCTTTATGCCATGTCTGTGGAATCCAATGCCAACAATATCTTCACTTACCAAAAGAAATGTGGACTGTAAAAACAATTATTTTATAATTTGATGTAATTACAAGAGCTTTTCTGATAAACTGGGTAATAGTTTTAATCCTCATTAATCTTTTTTTCCTGCCAGAAATTGTTCTTTTAGTTGCAGTATTCTTGATGGCTTGTAGTTCATGCTCTTCCTTATGGTTTTGCTTTGCTTTTTAAATAAGAATCATGCCTTGGAAATAAATTATGAAAGTTGAATCCATTAGAGAGATCTTCTTATAGCTGTGCTATCCTCAATGCCATTTTTATAAATAGTTCAGAATAGGTCTTCAGAGCTAAAATGGAAAGGGAGATAACATGTTCTTGTGAATGAATATACCAGTAGTCTCTTAGAATAATGGATATGTCTGCTTTATTGATCCAACTTGAGCTTATTATATTGCTCTCAGAGCTTTTCCTTAAACAATCATCCTTGCATCTTTTCTCCAGCATTCTTTGAAAAAGTAAAGTTTTGGAATTATGCTCACCTGAAAATATCTCCTATACCTTTGTCTCACCACATCCACTATTTCATGCTAACAGCATGATCTATTGGAACAATTTGGTTGACATTGCTGTCTCATCTTGTGTGAAAGACACACGGCAACAAAATGTATTATGCATATGTGACCCACAGCAAACTATGGGCAATCAGCATCCCATGTTAAGGAAATGTAAAAAAAGCAGTTCTCAACCATATATGCATACTAACTGGTATACTCTCTGGTGTGATATGCTGACTCTGTCTTGAGATCCTGAGATAGAGAAAAGTTGCATAATACAGAAATAGTGCCTCCTTCAAGAACTTAAAATGTCAGAGTTCCCCAAAACACCATTTGGTGATCTTGAGACACTAAAATGAATGGGAGTTCACTAAGGGCACCAGTGCGTGTTCCAAAGGAGTGTTCCAGAGTTAGTGTTCCCAATTGCCTCTGTCCTGCTGGCACCAGCAAGGGAACAGAGGCAGTTTGGTCTGCCATTCCTGTGTTTAAATTAAAAAAGCAGCTAGATGGGCCTCTGACTCCATCGCAGGTAAGGAGGGAAATGGAGAGGCCCTAAGATGCTACATTTCTCTTCTCTTCCTGCCCACTGGAAACTCCTCTCCACCTGCTTTCTGATTACTGCAAGGTTATCTTTCCAACCCTGAAACACAGCTGCAGTGGTTCTTGCTGCAACAGTTGTGAAGGACAAGGCAGAAGAAGTTAGAGTTATTATTCCCAAGTTTATAGCAGTGTCTGCAGGGTGGGGTATGACCATGGAAAGGGTAGAAGTGAAAGAGTTCCTCCTCTAGACACACAAATCCCCTTAAAAATGAGGCAGAGCAATAATATGATAAAAGCCTCATGTGGAAGTAAGCCCTTATAATTTGAAATTAGAGCAGAGCATAGTCTTTGCCTTGTGTAGCTCTATATCATGCAGGTATTAAGCCTTTACTATTTTTCTCTGAAACTTTTTGTACCTTTTTTTAGATATCTGTTGAAGAACTGGAAAGAAGTTTGGTTATAAAAGTCAATAAGGATGCTGTTATGAAGATAGCAATCTCCGGGGACCTGTTTACTCTGAGCAGAGGTCTCTATCAGCTTAACCTAACAGTGGGAGGTGTTCCTTTTAAGACCAAAGATCTTGTCCAGCCCGTAAGTTCTGTTGTTAACCAAATATTATAGTGTGCTGCAGTGATGGTCGACCGGATCTGTGTGGCAGACCAACCCTCTGAAATAATTTTATTTAGTTTCTGAGACTCCTGATCAACTGTACTCAAGATGTGTTAAAATGCTTGTCTATAATGTATCAATAGTAAGGAAAAATTATTTTTCATTTTTGAAAGTTTGCATGCATTATCCAGGGTATGTATTTATTGTACATTTAAGCTGCCCAACAAATGACACTCTGTGGGCAACGTGCAGTACATTAAAATATGCAACATACATATTAAAAAAGCAATGGAAACAACACAGGATAAAGCCAGCAGCAGAGAATAAAATCATTGTGACTCCATGAAAGCAGATTAAAACCAACACCAGAACAGAGTACTAAGAGCAGTTCTTAAGATGCTTGGGAGAATAAAAGGTGCCAGCTGAACCATAACAGAGGGCATGCTTGGGCACAGGTACTCATTACAGTAAAATGTTCCTCTAATCTGGACAGTACTATCTTTGTTATCAGGTCAGACCTCTTGGGACCATAAGGCCAGTTTTGGCAGCAAAACACATGTTCATCCTCTGGAATTTTGTGAGGAGTATGGGGATGAAAGAAGCTTGCCATTTCTGATGTGTGGTGTGATATCTCTGACTCCATGTTCATAAAGTTTGTTTAGCAAGAACGGTGCAAAATCTATGCCACTTACTGTCTAGCCTCAGGCAGCAGGTTGTAGGTGACGTGAAAGGGTAAAGAATGGTTAATTATTTAATTTGTTACAGTAGTACTAATATTTTAACAATCAAGAATGGGAGAGCCATTTGGCTAATGCTCTGCAGTGTCAGCCAAAATAACTTGTGCAGCTTTGAGTACTGTCCACTGCGACTTGAATGGGTGTGGGGCACAATATTCCTCAGGCACCAGAAAGGCTTGGGCCAGCTCTGCCCATCACTGTACTTCTGCTTATCCTCCATGCCCTCCACTGCCTAGCAGCCCCTGGGGTCTCTTCTTGCCTCTTCCCATGGGGCAGGTGATCAACCGTGGATACTGCATAGATGCCACTTGCTTTCTCCATCGTTCAAGTGGAAGTGGAGGACGAGATGTCATCCACCACCGTAAAACAGTGCGGTCCATCTGTTTCAGGTGTGTGTGCTGTGGGGAGCAACTCTCGCCATTTTGGAGAGTACAGACAGTAGTGGTGGTAGATTATGGTTAGGACTGGTGGACTCTCCTGGGGCAATGGAGCCTCAAGTGACGGCTGGATGGTTCCCAGTTGACTTCCAGAGTATTTTTCCAAACACTGGAGTAATAGACATACAGTGTGACACTATAATGGACATGTCCTGTGGCACTAAACCCTATAAACCAACATTCCACAACTGGGTATCCTTTGGACCTATTAGAGTACAACTCCCATAATTCCAAGCCAGCATGGCCAGTGGATTTGTTGGGTTTGTATAATAATATTCTATAAGGAGTTAAATACCATTATGCATTGCCATAAGGTCAGTGTAGTAAAGCGATAAAGCTGTTGCACTCCTTAATACATGTGGTACCATTTCCAAGTCATGGTTGACGGAGTCTTTCATTTTTTTGAATTAAAACAATAAGTTTGATTAAAGCTTGTCTTGTGGTTTTATTGCTGTTTTGTGAACTGCAATAAGTGTGTTAAAAACATTCTTACTCCCAGATTCATTAATAATTCAAAGTAAGGGCCTTTGCTTTGTCTTGATAGATTAACCCTCGCCTGGATGGCTGCATGAGGGGCTGGAATTGGCTGAATGGTGAAGATATGACTATTCAAGAGACAGTGAGACTGAATGACAAAATGCAGTGCTTTGCAGTTGCAGGAAGAGGCTCTTTCTACCCAGGCAATGGTTTTGCAGTGTTTAATCTTAGTTACGGTAAGTACTTGGCTTTATTAAGTTGCTAGATGTGTGTTTTTTAATTGTGCAATAAAGGGGGAAAATCAAATGTCTTTTAGGGGTGGAATGGAGAAATGATAAAGCTATCTTAAAAAGTCAACTTCCTGCATATGAAAAGAAAATCTGTACAAAGGAAGTTGCATCATGTCTTTATGGAATAAAAGATCTAATATTTTCTAGCTTAAACCATCCACTGGTTGCAGTTCTAATGCACTTTTTGCTACTTACACTTCAACAGTGGTTGTAATCTCTCGCAAATACTGGCTTTTTTATTTTCTGTTTTGAATTTCACTTTTTAGGCTTCTTTCATTCAGTGCATTGTCCTGCTTTATTACCAAGAGAGAAATTCACTGTGATCTAAAATATAATGGTGAGGTTCATTTTTCTCAGTGGTCCTCAGGGTTTTTTGATTAGACACAAAGACAATGTGGTCACTTACTCAGTGACAATCAAGCTTGCATAAACTGAACTGCAGAAGAAGCCTTTCTAAGGTGATTAATACACTTCCCCATTCCAGTTGAAATTGAAATCTGCCCTTGATTCCTGAGCAGTAACTGTGTTTCATCATTTGAAAGCTACTTGCAGGGAGAAAGCAACAGCTAACACGGCTCAGCCAAGAAGCGCAAGAAAGCCAGTGTGGTGTAGTGGTTAAGAGCATGGGACTGGGACTTAGACGATCTGGGTTCTAGTCCCTGCCCAGCCATGGAGCCAACTGGGTGGCTTTGGGCCAGGCACAGACACTCAGCCCAGCCTACCTCACAGGGTTGTTGTTGTTGTGGGGATAAGATGGAATGATGTAAGCTTCCTTGAGCCCTTTGTAGGAGAAAGTCAGGATATAAATTACAATATAAATAAATACATAAATGGAAGAAAGAAAGGTTGGTCCTCTTAATGAGCACAGAAAGACTGACGTTTCTACTTCATTTAAATTCTGCTTGACATAAAGTTCTCCGCAGATAATGGGCCGTGTTGAAAAGCTTCATACTTTTTTAACCCAATGTCAAGTAATACAATTTTTAAAAGGTAAAGCACTAGAAAAGAACTTAAAATATAGGATTGTTATTCAATCCTATATTCCTTTTCATGCAGCAGTTAAATCTTAAGATATGCCTTTTCCCCTCTTCCCTAGTTATATACAGACAGTTAAAATATTTAGGATCAGAAAGGCTGTTTATTTTAAGCCATCCAATAACCAGAGTTCTTTGGGCAGTATACTAAAACAATAAGATAAAACTACCAGCAAAGAGTAAAATCACCACAGCACATAAAACCAAAGTAAAACCAGCTGCAAAATAAAAATGTAATTCTCTAAAAGCACTACAAGCCTTGGCAGGGCAGGGGGGACTTCACCTTGGACCAAAACGACCATAATATGGTGCAGGTGAGCTTCTCTGGGTGCTGCCCCTGGAAAAGCTCCTTCTCTCTGATAACATCCTGACCTGGAAGAGGGTTTTAGGTGATGACCATAGAGCCTGGGCTGCAACCCAGATGATGTGTTAGGTGACTTTACTCACCTTGTTTCTGTGTTACTTTATACAACTGTATTAGCCTGAGATGAGAAGTTTGCATGGCAAATCTCCCATGATGGATGTCCTAGGAGGGATAGGTGGTTTTCTTTTAATAAGGTCACCAATGTGAAATTCTGGAAACTGCCGTTTGGGTATATAATTATACAGGAGCTTTTACTTTGTGCCATTGTGAGCCCTAAAAGAAGACAAGAAAATCAAAATCTCCTCTTCTGTCCATACCAGTAATCAAAGAGTCTTTTTGTCCGACTATATATCTTGAGAAATTGCTAGTTATCTGGTGGCAAGTTGTTCTGTACCATTGAGGTACAAAAAAGCCTGACTTCTTAAGTACAAATGAATCATTTCCTCAAACTTGAAATAAATATAGCTTGTTCATCATTTTATTTCATAAGTAATTACCATAGTTATCTCAGCAACAGTGTCTTAAACGAATCAAGACAATTGAATGCATTTTCTTCCTTTTTTACTAGTTTCTATTACAACTAGATCTGTGTCATAACAAGAAAGATTCACGTGTGCTACAAATTAGGTGGAAGTAATGTCCATTCACAGAACATAACTCTGAAATAAGTGAGAACAGAACCCAGGACTACAATGCAGTAATGAGAATTGTGTTCTATTTATATCTTTGCTTTCGTTTCGCTGTGGCTTTTGTGAACAGCCTTGGGTCACTGGATTGAAACTGGATTATTCAGTTACTTCCTACAGCTCAAGGTTGATACCGACACTGTATGACACATTGTACAGAAGCCCTAAGAATATGGCAGGTTCGTAGCCCCTGGGGATCAAAGGCTCACTTTTGATTTAAAATGCTTTATGTTGGCTTCCGACAGCCTAAAATCTTACAACCCTTGGGAAAGGGACAAAATGGAACTGTTAGATCAGTTTGCTGTAGCAAGGCAACGCACTCTTTATTGTTGGCTGAATAAGATGTACCCATTTTGTATATGCGTTCAGCTGTTCCCTCAGATGAGAAAATCTTATCCACTGCTTGATTATTTGAATCTTTAAAAAATGTATGTACCTAGTTCTTTGCATGTTTCTGTTTCTGTAGCCCACCCGCTTGACAGCAATGAGACCAAGAAGCAATGGGAAATAAAATTAAATATTCTAATTCGGCCGGCCACAGATACCGGGGTGCTATTTGCCTTTGTCAGTAGTGAAGCAACAGTCCCTTTGTCAGTGGCTCTGATAGACTTTCATTCCACAAAGAGGCTAAAACAACAGGTAAAGATGTAAATATATATTAATGAACTGGAAGTATGTTTTAGTTTGCATTTGGTATTTCATTGAGTTCTTGTAGGGCTTGGACTGTGCAGACCAAAAACACAATTCAGTCATAGTTAAGCCATCGTGAATCCAGCTGACTTCAATGGTGGGAGTCTTTGCAAGTCCTGTTATACTCCCATATAAATCAATAGGATAGGAAAATGACAACTTTTACTCTGAATAGTTAGATACCATTAAGAATTGAGAATTACACAAATAGCAAGTAAAATAGCAGCCTGTGCTTTCTGTAGGATATCCCCCAGGAGAGTTGGGCAGATGTAAGTCTTTCACAGAATCTGGTGAATCAGTAACATACTAATTATCAATTATCAATATTTTAGCTAGACCTCCATAATCAAGCAACCAACCCCTGATCCAATAGACATAGACTTAGAATTAAAGAATTCTTAACCATGTGTTAGAGGACCAGCACCGTAGGTTAAATATTGAGCTATTCTTGCTATTCTGTGGCAGCTAATTTTTATTTATGTATTTAGAACTTTTCAATACAGCGATTTACCTTCTGCCCACACTCTCCTAAGGCACCACAGGGAAGTAACAGTGAGCTGCTCTGCTCCATACTCAGAAGTGCAATACTCTACTACTTGGGAGATGGTAAGGCTGAACGGAAAGGAGTGAGGGGTACTAATTTTCTTGAAGAAGTTTATGGCCATTGCAGAGGGCCTATCTCTGGTGAGGCAAATCTTGTAGGCATCATATGCTGAGTTGCATGGCTTGACTCTTTACCTATATGCCTCCGAATTCTCTCTCTCCTTACCGAAAAGCTGGCAAAAATTAAGAGTGAATTAATTGAGCAGGGTAGTTAAGGCTGCATCCAGAAGCATACTTTGTAGGGAATAGTTTTCATTCAAATCAGTGGAGTTGTTTCTAACAAATATGCTTAGCACCATACCTGGTGCCTGCCATGTTTTGGACTAGATTGCCAAAAATCCCCAGTGGCCGTGTTTTGCTGAACTTGATTGGAGATACAGTCCAGAAGCACTCAGAGTGTGCCAGGCTGCCTACCCCGGCAGTAAATCTGCAGTTCATGCATTTCCTACAGCCACAGCACCCAGTTTGAGGTATGTGGTGGTTATTGCCAGAGCAGGCTCAATAGGCCTGACAAAATAGGCCACAGTAAATCTACTAGAGCCCGTGGTTTCTCGGCTTGCATAGAGGAGCTCAGAGCTGGCTCCACACAGCCAGGAAATAAGGGGTGGAAGAAGTTAAAAGGAAGGAAAAAGTCCACCTCTTGGCCCTGCCCTTCTCTCTTTACCCGACTGGACCTGATAATGATCCAGTTCCCCACTTGGCAGTTGCTAATACCATAACAACTAAAAATGGAGTTTCCATCTTGAGGTCCAATATATCATTGATTTACCAGATTCTGTTAACAAAAAGTTGGCTGTGGCTTTCATGTCCAGCTTGTCAGTTTCTCAGAAGCATTAAGCTAGTCACTGTGCTGAACTAGACGATCTAGTCCAGTAAGGTAGTTCATGAGTGCTTATGTTCATGCAGATTATGCATTGTAAAGAAACATTAGGCTAGTTTCAAGACAAGTGTTTCAGAACTTTCCAGTGGGTTGGGTTAGTGGAATATTTGTGGGTGACTGTTCACTGCAATTTTTAATGACTCCTGCATTTGGCAGTCGTATCTTAAGTGTCTTAATTATTCCTAAATTAACTGAGTGTTTTTGTCTTATGACTGTGTGCAACTAACTTCCATTTTATCGTGCCTTATGCAGTTTGTCGTCTTGGCAGTGAAGAACACTGTGGTGTCCAGACTGGCAGTAAGCATTTGTGATGAACAGGAACACTTGGTTGATATCGCCATCAGCAAGGGCCAGATATTGTTGACTGTTGATGGGACAGCAGGACAGAATGAACTAAACCATTCAGAGCTAGAAGACAACTTGTCTGTCTTGGATGATTACCTTCAGTCATCTGTAAAGACCTATGTAGGAGGATTGCCAGGTATTATGACTACTGCTGGCACTACATCTGTATCTTGTCCTTTTTCCTCTTGCTAAGAACACATGGCAATTATTTATATCTTGCCTTTTTCCTTCCAAGGAACTTACATGGGCCTCCTTCTCTCCCTTTCTTTACAACAGTTTTGTGAGGTAGGCCCAGCTGAGAGTTAGTGTGTCCAGTTAGTTAGTCCAGAGCATAGTTGATACAAGTGACAGCCAAGAAAGGAGTTAGGGGAATTTGGTTTACTGCTGTAACACTCTATGGCAGACTGACTCGAGAAATAGTCTTATTAAGGTGATGTCTTGCTCTCAGTTTAAAAAAAATAGATTGCATTGAGAAGATTGTGGCTGTTCGGAGAGTTGAGAGAGAGACACGCAACTGAACCTGAAAGTTGTTTTTTAATGTGGAAAAGAGGGGAAAGTAATCAGTTTTGCCAGAAAAATGCGTTTTACACTAAGTTGCATCCAATTTTTTTTCAAGACCAGCAATATAATTAATGACAATTGTATAGATTGAGAGTGTGCAACAAGATACAATTTGCAATTTGTTCATGAAAGGGTAAAGAAATGTCCCTAGAAAGAATGTATAACAAGAACTAATGTCACACAGCTGTTCCTTTGAAGAATACCAGATTCTCCCTGGCAATCTAATGTGAAGCTAATCATCTGGTTTAGCGGCTTCCAGTCATTTATGCTGCAAGATATAGTTGTACACTGCATTTTTTTCTTCCCATGTGAGCTAATTTAATCCATTGTTGGAAGGTAGCCTGGGATCTATTGACCTAGGGGTACGCTGGCCATACAAATGGACATTTTTGAATGCATGAGGAAGACTGAATTGTATATGCATGTGTGTTGTGTCATAAGCTGGGTCACTACAGATGGGCTTTTCCTATTCATATTACCAGCCCAGACCACCAAGTGAACCATGATTTCCCATCACTGGCAAATGCATACCAGTAGGTTTGGGGACACTGGCTTGGGTAGGAACTTTTGTGAATTGGGCTGACTCACATATTACAACACAACTCTAAAATCATTCATGAACCAAAAATTCAGATATGTCTACTGCCTTTGACAGTTGCTGTGGCATTCAGTGTAAGGTGGCATCATTACCATTATTGGTGGCAGTAATGGTAATGAGCCTTCCGAGAATCTCAGTAGTCCTTAGCTTCCATGCACAAGCTCGGTGACTACGGCTGCAATTCAAAGTGATACTAGCATAGTGACTTGAGCACTGTAAGAGTTTTTACTGCTCAAAAAGCAAGCCACTGTTCCTCTTTAATAATAAAGAGGAACAGCTATTTAATAAAATAGCTTCCTCTTTAATAATTTAGTAGTGGGAACTATGGAAATAGGAACATCAGAGTTCGGTCAGATGGCTTCCTAAAAATACAAGCATTCTTACTGAAACTTCCTCAGTACTTTAGTCTACTGTGATCTTTAGTCTACCTTTGCTTTTATTTTCCGAATTATCAAGTCTGGGCATCAGTTTTTAGAGAAATGAAAGTTCAAATATCTTGTTTTGTAGATAAATTCTGCTGCACTGGAGAAGTGGAATGGAAATATCTGTAGATGTCTGCCTTTGGACGAATATTTCTGGCTGCACCCCACCAAAAATATTACACGGTTTAGCTAGTTTTCTCCAGTTAGTTGCTTTTTGATAAGTCTAGTGCTTTTTACAAGCCTAAAAAGAAAACTCTAATCCCCAGGCTTTGGGGAGTGAGGACATGGAATGTGCCACAAGTCATTATATGTTAGGCGGCCATTTCTGGCCTCAATTCAGAGTGCCAGGCCTTAAAGCTCTATATATAGCCTGAAGTGCCTGATTCTGCCTTATCTTGGAAGCTAAGCAGGGTTGGGCCTGTTTGAAATCTGGATGGGTGACTTAAATGTTGTGAACCGCCCAGAAAAATTCGGCAACAGGCAATATAGAAATTAATAATAATAATAATAATAATAATAATAATACGGCTTAGAACCAGTGTAATTCAAGGACCGTCACTCCCACATGTTGAGATCCTCTTAAAAGACCTTGGCTCTATGGAAGGGCGTTGGGTAGCAATCTAAGAGGACCTTTGATTGATGGTACCCCAGCTTTGGAACCTCCTGCTAAGGGAGACTTGGCCAGCCGGTAGTGGCCCTTTTATTTCTCTAATTTTGGCAGGTATCTTGATCTTTTTTGCTTCAGACTTTAACGCTTTTACTGGTATTTTAATATTAACTATTTTTGGTTTTATTTGATGGTACTAATTTTGTTGGATTGTTGTTTGTTCTTGGAATCCTTCAGGGTTGCAAAAAAGGTAGAAATTAGTGGGGAGTTCTCTGCATGTGTGCAGACCTGGAGAATTATCTGGAGGAGAAGGAACACACCAGTACTTTTTTTTAAAAAAATGCAGATTGAGGAGCCATTAGGAGATAACTATGGTAAAGAGTTTGAGTAGTGGTAGGTCTTTATATCATTTGCCAGTTCAGTTCTGCTAGAAGCTAGTTCCACTTGGCAACATGTAAGGATCCTTTGTTTCACCAGCTCTTCCTTTCAACTTTTCTTTTTGGAAGAGTTTTTTTTGGGGGGGTGGGGTGGGCAGCGGTATTTTTGTTCTTAGCAGATGAACCTATCACTGAGCCTGTTAGCTTTTCCTCAGAAAATTCAGCAAAGGGAAAATTAAGACATAACAATTTAATCATTCTGACAAATTCATGTGATCATGAATCTAAAAATAACACTTTCCCATTCGTTTTTAATGGAGAAATACTCCGTTTTTGCTGCTGACACTCCTGCAAAGAAAGGATAGGGCTTCCTGCACTGTACAACTGCTATTTCACTGGAAACATGTTTTGTTGATGTGTTTAAGTGTTAATTCAGAAAAGTTTCTGTGAAATTCAGTGCACAATCAACAAAACATTTCCTTCCACTTTCTGTGCAGCCTCTTAGCATTCCCAGCTTTTGAACTGGTCCCTTTAGTTATGCCTTTAAGTGGAGCCTGGACTACAGAACTTGCAGACCTCCAAACTCACAGCAGAACAATTTGTTTTCATAGGTGCACCTGAAGGGGCTGATTCAGAAACTGGCACCATGGTGTTTGCATTCATATGTGAATGAAAGTGTGGATTCTCTGTAGATTAAATTGCAGCTGAATTATAAATTAGTAATAGCAAATGTTAATATAAGCTGATTTCTTCATGTATTGGCTTATACTAAAATCCTCTCTCTCTCTTCCTGCTTCAGTGTTTACATGGATACTGGTAGGCATCTAATAACAGATTTTTACCACTTCCAACAAAGCTTTGATCCAAAAGGGTATGACCAATATATTACCTAAAGCCTCATTAGTGCAGCTTGCCTTCCACACCTTTTACCACCTAAGAAGCTAATTATTTTAGTGACTCTTAAAACAGCCAAATATTTCCTTATTCAGTATTCATGTTCTGTGGCAGGCGTATTCTCCAGCAGCCACCACTTTTTATTTATTTACATTTTCTTATCACCCAGTAGCTGAAGCTGTCTCGGTGGTTAACAAAGTTAACAAAAACGAGAAAGACATAAAACATTAAGACAATAAACAATAAAACCACAGCAACTGCAACTGAATCGACACAGAGGCTTAGCAGTGGTACAGGATAAAATGCAGATAAAAACTAACATTGAAAAATGTAACTATTAAGCTCCTGGGCAAACAAAAAGGTTTTCACCTGGCACCAAAGAGAATAGAGAGTAGGCAACAGATGTATCCCTTTGGGGAGCTCATTCCATAACAGAGGTGCAAGAACCCAGAAGGATGTCCTCCTGGTAGCCACCCTCCTTGGGAGGGGACTCCCAGAGAAGGACCTTTGAAGATGACCTTAGGGCCCAGGTAGGTACGTACGGGGCAAGGCACACCTTCTGGTAATCTGGCCCAGGCCGTTTAAGACTTTGAATGTTAATGCAAGCAGTTACAGAGGGCTGCATGATTTCTGGCACAGAATATAGTAGGCCACAAACCACTCAAAAAAGATCTGAACAACACTGAGAAACAGTCAGAAGAGGCCTCCTGGGCCATCTAGTCTGACCTCCGGCACCAGCCGACTCCACTCACGACATGCCCACCATGTGCATGTCCAGCCTATCTTTGAACACCCTCACCAATAGGGCCTCAACGACCTCTCGTGGAAGCCTATTCCACACTCTCAGAGTCCTAACTGTCAGGAAGTCCTTCCTGGCATCTAAATTGAACCTTGGTTCCCTGAGCTTTGCTCCGTTGGAGTGCATCCTGCCTTCCTCTGCAGGGGAGAACAGATCTCTACCCATCTCCATGTGACATCCCCTCACCTGTCTGTCGCCAACATATCCCCTCTGAGTCTTCTCTTCTCCAGGCTGAAGAAACCCAGTTCCCCCAGTCTCGCCTCATACCCCATCCCCTGCAAACTGGCCACTAACCTTGTGGCCCTATGCTGCACTGACTCCAACCTGGTTATATCCTTTCTGTAATGAGGGGCCCAAAACTGAGCACAATACTCCAGTTGTGGGCACACCAGAGTCATATAGAGTGGTAGTAATACCTCTCTCAATCTAGAAGCCACACTTCTGGCTATGCAGCCAAGGGTGGCGTTCGCCCTCTTGACCACCACATCACACTGCTGACTCATGTTTCGCCTGCGGTCAACCAGCACCCCGAGGTCCCTTTCACAAGTGCTGCTCTCCAGCCGCTTGTCACCTAACCTGTACTTATGACAGCTATTCCTATGCCCCAGGTGCAAGACCTTGCACTTACCCACATTGAACGCCATCCTGTTGTCTCCTGCCCACTTCCTTAGTCTGTCCAGATCCTTTTGGATCTGGAGTACCTGCTCCTCAGTTGTGGCCACTGCTCCAGTTTTAGTATCGTCTGCGAATTTGATCAGCACTGTTCACCCCTTCTTCCATGTCATTTATGAAAAGATTAAACAGGATCAGCACCAGGACAGAGCCCTGGGGGACCCCGCTTGTCACTGGCCACCATCCTGATGATTCCCCACTAATGGTTACCCTCTGCTTTCGGTCAGTCAACCATGCCCTAATCCACCGGACAGTGCTTTGGTGTATCCCAGAACTCCTCAGTTTCTCCACCAGGATATCATGGGGCACTTTGTCAAAGGCCTTGCTGGAATCCAGGTATACCACATCCACTGCATCCCCTCCATCTAGCCATCTCAAAACCTTGTCATAGAATTCCAGAAGGTTTGTCTGGCAGGACCTGTTTTTGCGGAAGCCGTGTTGTGTGGCTGTCAGCCTCCCTTCCCTATCTAGCATCGCTAGATCTCTATTATGAGCCTTTCCATTGTTTTTCCTACAATGGACGTAAGGCTAACAGGTCTGTAATTCCCCATATCCCTTCTACTACCCTTTTAGAAAATTGGGACCACTGATGCCACCCTCCAGTCCTCTGGAACTTCACCCGTTCTCCACAAGGCCTCAAAAATGAAGGCCAGCGGGCGTGAGAGAACCCCTGCCAACTCTCTAAGTACTCTTGGGTGTAACCCGTCATGGTGTGGGGCTTTTGTAATCTCCAATGCCCTGAGGAGCCCCTTGACTTCAAGGGGGGTGACTCTAATCTGTGCCCTCATCTAATCTTCTATGCGGATATTCCCCGTCCTGCTTTGGGGAGAACACAGAGGCAAAATAGTCATTTAGCATCTGTGCCTGTTCCCTCGTAACAGTCACTGGATCTCCTTCCTCCTCATTTAGTGGTCCCACCACTTGTCTCCCCTTCCTCTTCCTATTTACATGCTGATAGAAGCCCTTTTTGTTGCTCTTGATATTCTTGGCAAGTCTCAGCTCGTAATCAGCCTCAGCCTTGTGAAGAATCCTTCCGCAACGGGCTGCCTCCTCCTCCTGGTATACCCTTTTGTCTATTTGCCCCAGTACCCATTTCCTACGGAGGGTCCTCTTTCATCTAATCCCTCTAACCACAGTGCTGGTGGAAAAGAACTGTTTCTTTGTTGTGCTCATCTCCACAGAGCAGGCTCACTAATGAGCTCTTCAATCAGAGTTTTCCTCCACCTGCACCAGCCATCTCTCCTCAGCTGGCTTGGTAATCTCCCAATACCATGCGTCCCCCTACCCGTGACCTCAGCAATAGGGGTACTCCCTTGTTCCCCCAAAGTCATCTAGAGACATATTAAAATGTACATGGTAAGAACAGTAAATATACTAAAATAAACCAGCTGCTATGCCTCTAAATCAATCCACTGCAACTGTTGTGGGACTGTCCTTTCCCCACCAAGAGCTGGGCACCCAAAGTGCCACTGAACGGGTACCAAATGAGCGATGCCCTTCAGCTGCTGCCTTGATTGAGAGGCTTTGTGAAGTAGGCACCGGTAGGGGTAGGGCCCTGCCTCTGGGCCATAGAGGCGGCCTCTCCAGCCAGAGCAGGCAGGTGATCCTTCCACAGGGGAGCAAAAGGAAGGCAGCCCTCACCCCTCCTGGGTGTCCAGGCATTACAGAGTCTTTTGGAAAACCATACTCTGAGATCCAGTACTCCTCTGCCTCAGTTCACACTAGCACAGGGAAGGCTGCTTTTTCCCTTTTTCCCAGTGCCACATTTGAAATCATGTGGGCCAGTAATGGATCAAGCTGCAAGTTATTTCACTTCCCCCCACATACACACCCAAGCCTGGGGACATCAGTTCATGCAGAGACAAACCTCTTATTCTGCACTTTAAATAATTCAGAATGAATCCAGCGTCCCAAGAACTGTGAGTACACTCTTCACAGACCGAGACGATCAGATAATTAAATTACAGCAAAAGTTGGCTGCATAATATACAGTGGCAAATCTAATCTCCTGTCCAGGAGATAGCAAGAAGCCTCTTTCCAGCCACAACTCAAATCCGAGTCAGTTCAGGTCTGCTTGAAAGACAAGAGACCTGCAGGGTAAACTTGCTTTGGTGCTAAAACTCATCCAAAGATTAAAGAGAAGACCTTGAAAAGAAGGACTGGAAGAAAATCTGGGGTGGGAGGAAATTTGAATGACAACTTCTTTAGTTTATTATATGTAGAAACAGAAATTCAGTTGATGTTTCTTCTGTGAACAATTCCCTGAATTTTGCAGCTCAGCTGTTCTATAGCCAGTGTTAGTCATGGGCCCATGAACAGCTTACAGTGCAAAAGGGAAAATGTTGAATATGTTTAACATTTTTAAGAATGAGGAACTTGTTAGTAAATTTATTGATGCAGTTTTCCTTCCCTTTCTTAAAAAATCTCCCCTTTTTACAGATGTTCCTGTCACTTCAACTCCAGTCACCGCTTTCTACCATGGCTGTATGACAGTGAAAGTTAACAAGCAAACTCTGGATCTAGACGAGGCGCTTTACAAGTCCAATGACATCACATCTCATTCTTGCCCTCCAGTAAAGACTGCTCAATAGGTCCCTCTGCAACACACAAAGGCTTTATATTCAAAAAAAGTTCATTTCAATGCTTTCCTTTTTATATACATATATATATAAAGATATAAATTATTCAGACTTCCAGCACTGCGTGTATAGTTCTCTTGGACACTGAAGTTATGTAGGAGCTACTGAAACTCAAATGTCAGATTAATTATTGAAATATTTTCTTGCTTGGAAGGGTTTAAAATGTGTAATATATTTGTAAATAGTTAAGAAGACTAATATTGATAACCCAAATTTGCAAATGCTTGCCTAAGGTGAGTGGCTAAGAGAGATCATACCTGTCATGTGGCAACTGGTAATATATTCTGAGTGGACTGGAAGATTAAACATAGTAATGTATTTTTTTATTACCAAATGCTGCTTCCTGACTTACAAAATACGAAAGAATAAAACAAAAAAAACTTTTTAAGGAGTTACCTGAAGTAAGGACAAGCCTTTGTTTGGGGTGGAATTTCATTTGACATTTTCATTGCCTTATGCCATTATGCACAGCAGTTCCCTTGTCTACAGTACAAAAGAGTGAGCTGTATGGTAGGATGCCCCAGTGCACTTGCTCATTGCTACGTTTTGGGCTTTCTCCTGATGCTCTGCTTTACCCCATGAAGCCAGAGAGACTCGTTTCCATGGCACTCCAGCATCTTGGTCTGATGCAACCAAACTGCGTGCTTTGAAAGGCATTTCCCTTGCTGTTCGATACAGAGTTGGATCAAGGGTTGAAGGCACAGCCATTTAAGTCGGCTGTCAGCCACTGGAGTGCATAATGCAGTAGCCGCATCAAGCTTTGAGCAAGAGGCTGGGGCAGATGACCACCAAGATACTTCCAATATTCAGTGGTGCTAGGACTTGCGTCTCCTTGAGTAAGAATGTAGGTACCTTGGCTTCTCCCTCTCCTCACACCATCTGCGTCCTGGGGTTTCCTTAGCTTTCCCACAGCAATAATTTACTCTGGCCTGTAGAAGCCAGACTTGCTTCCTCTCTTTTCAGGCCAAAACACTCATGTGACGTGGAGATTGGATTAGGGCTTTAGCAGTTAATCTCTCCAATATGATTGGTCAAGAACAGCTACAAGCATGGATTTACTCTATATTCTTTGCTAGCATGACTCCTAAATGACTGATTTTTCTTTTAATCTATGCATTTTTCACCTATCTCTTATGGGAGACTTAAATAATGAATTGCTTTTTTCCTGTTAACAGTATGTGCAAAGCACTAAATGCTCCCAAGATCATTGGTTTATGTGGTTCAAGTTGTCCATCCATAATATCTAATGCAGAATTTTTAAAAGGATAACATAATTTATGTTACATGCTGCCCCGAGGCTTATGCGAATGGGGTGGCATATACGTTCTCAATCAATCAATCTCCCTCTCTCCCTCTCCCTCTCGCTCTCTCCGATAAGAACAGAATAATTCCAGTACAGGATCTATGAGGGGCCATGGGATGGCAAAGCTGACAGCAGTGGGGGCGCTGCTTGGGATGTGATGTCATAAGCATGCATTTGCTTTGTCAGTCCGGTCATTTAGTACATTGTCACAGAAAGTCAGTAGGCCAGTCGCAAATAGGTTTCCCCGCTTTTCCTTCTTATATACTTTCCCACTTGATTTAAAGCCCCGTTCAGGTATTGACTCTGAACAAGTCGCCTAAACACACATGGTAGGTGCACAGACCCCATAATGGCAGTAAGTTCTATTCATATACAAGCAAACAAAAGAGGAATCGATCTTCAGCCCTTGCTGCTCAACATGGCAAGGCAAGCAATGAAAGGTGTGGCTGGAGTGCAGTGGACTACAGGAGGTAGGGACAGTTTGCTTAGCCCCATGACTCCTCTTGTATACATTTCTGCATATACTGTTCAGACTTGATACCTGATCCAGGTTTTAATCTTGGTTGATAGAGAATAGGCAGAGATAGTCACACTTCTACTTCATTGCCTCCTTCATTCCTTCCCTCTCCTCAACATACTGCACATGATATAAGAATTTCTAAACTAGAGATAGGCTATAGGTAACGTGGGGGGACTCAGTCCAACCTTGGACTCACCCAATAAATAAATTTACTTCCTCCTGTTATGAAGACTTTCAAATACACCAGTCTTTCCTGTGAAAAGCAACAGAAACTTTAGCACAGCATTCCACTTATTATGTATAAGAATTAAATACTACATGACTTGTTGAATCTGTAGCATATGAAAAAGATAGCTTTTATTTTTAGGAATATTAATCACTACACAAGACAAACTATTCAGACAAGAAAATAAATCCTTTTTTTCATTTTTAAAAAACCTGGATCCCCCAATATGGTCCCTTTGGAAATACAGTTCATACAGTCCTCATTTCTGTAATATGTAGACCAAAAGTACAACTATAGTTCACACAGCATATTTTATTGTAAAATAATTATGGTCTTTTAGAAGATATATTCACAGAAAAGAAAGAAATTAATTGTGAGAAGGAAAAAGAGAAGGCTTGTTCCCTAAAACAGCTAGCTACCTATGTGCATAGCTACCTAAGTGCTCACATTCTAAACTGGGGAGATAAAAAAAGCTCACAGCTAGAGGGAGCAATCCTATGGCCTCCAGACAAAATCTGAAGGGCCCCTGGATAGTTTGGATTTGATATATTAAATGGATTCCTAATTGCAAGGTCAGAGACACCCCTCTGACCTTGCAGCTGGAAATGGTACGTCTGCCCACACCTATTCCTTTGGAGCCTACATGGAAAGAACTATGCTTTCCAAGCAAGCCTTAAAACGGAAAGAAGCGGGCATTTCGGGGGAAGAGGGAAGAATGGGTGAGACCAGGGTATGAATGATCCTGCTGCCTCTCCATCCTCCTTACCTCTCCTTGCAGCACTCCAGCAGGGCAAGAGGACAGTGCGGTAAAGACTGCCTCTGCTGTTCTTCCCACTCTGAAGTGGAGGGCTGCTGGGCACTTACAGCCTTTGCCATAGGACTGCACTCTATCTAGGCATAACAAAACGAAATTTAGCAGCAGATAACCTGCACCCTGCTCAACTATGGTCCACACAGTGATTCAGATACACACAGACTAGCTATGCAATGATGGAGATGGACATTTTCATCCTTCTTGCAATATAGATGCTAAGGTGTACCACCATCTGCTATCTTGAGCCCCTGATCAGACAACGGCTGCATTTAAATGTAATGGTAAACCATGGTGCAAGAAAGAGCCTAGGAAAGCCTCAAGGTTGCAGGTCTCCCTCCATCTCCCCACCCGTGCCTGAGATTCTTTAAGGAAGAGACTGGAAACATTCCCATCTAATAGACTATAATCATAATCATACTGCATTTATATCCCACCATTTTCCCTTCTGTGATGAACCCAAGTTGGCTTGCGTGGAACTCTTCCATTCCATTTTCATTCTCATAACAGCCCTGTGAGGTAGGCTAGGCTGAGAGTGAGAGTTCGCCAGGACTGAAGCCTGGATCTCCCAAGTCCCCAGGCCCCAACACCACTAGCTCTCAACCAATCACATCAGTATTACTGTCTGATCCCAAAAAGCTGATCCCAACACCTGTCAAACCCAAGGCTGACCTAGCTGCATGGCTGTAATGCTAAACCAGTTTGTTACATCTGAGTGCAGCTATTCCCTTGCTCATTGTGACTTCTTAAGGATCCAGGCCCTGCTAGATGAGAAAAGGCCTTGGTATTTTTGGAGGGACTGGAGGAGCACCATAGCCGGTTGAAAGTGACAGCATGCAATATTCCGCTGACTGCTCTACTAGATACACTCACGCAATTTTCATTCACTGTCCTAGTAATAATTACTTGGCTTTAAAGTTGGGAAATACTGTGCATACAGAATGAGCTTCTTCAATGTCTACAAGCCTGAGAAGCACATAGTTTTGCCAACGTTTTCTTTTTAAGGCCTACTACCTGTGATACTGGTCCCGTGGCTACGGCAGGTACGGTGGTGGCTTTTCACCTGACAAGTAATAGGCTGGTGCATATAACGGAGGGGCGTTGGGAGGAAGGCCGTAGTTCGAGCTGGCCTGAGATGGTGGCTGGGTGTCATCGGATAGAGAGATATCAGTAGACGACGATGCTGGGAAATTGCTGGTAGGCTGAAACAAAACCAAGAAAAAGCAAAGATGAATTGCAAATTGGATTTCAGGCATATTATACAAGTGTGCATAATGTATACAAATTAAAAATTCAACACTCATGCATAGTGTTCTGTGTGTGTGTGCGGACATCATTATCACTTTTCAGCTCCTCAGCAGATCGTTCTGTCCAATTTTGATTCTGTGTTCTGTACAAAGCTTACTGTATATAAATATTAAATAGAAATAAACATTTTGGATGGCCAGAGCATGCACCAGTACATGCCGTGAAAAGGGGGCTTTCACTTCCATATATTTCTCGCACTGAGAATATAACATAGTAACAGATAAATCTGGTCTGGGGATTGCTTGGCTTAGCTCCCCAAACTAGCCTGCTTCCTCTGCCTGAATTCTGCTTCATGCCAAGTGCGGCAAAGACAGCTTGCACCCCTGCCACCTATGTGCCTGCTGTGCAGGTGGAGTTCTGCTTCCGCACATGTGACTTGGGCTTTGCAAACATGGTGTACCTGATGTAAAGAAGGGGTCCACCAATGTTCCTATGCATTCACAGGCCTGTTTGCAGCTCAGGTCACTTGGTGGCCAGGAAGGAAGTCCAGCAAGTGCAAGTGAAGCAGACTGCAGTCAGTTCTTCACATCTCTAGTATAACAGGGATCAATTAAGTTATGTCAAGAGGCAGAGAGAGAGAGAGAGAGAGAGAGAGAGAGAGAGAGAGAGAGAGAGAGACTTTTCCTCTTGCGAATAGAGCCCAGCAGTGCCAACACAGTGTAGCTTGGCCTTCCCCAACCTTGTTCTGCCCAGACCTTGTGGACTGTCCCATCAGCCACAGCCAAGAATTCTGTCACTTGCAGTCTAAAACATCAAAAGGGCAAAGGTTGGAGGAATGCTTAGAGGCAGCTGGAGTAGCTGGCTTACAGCAAGCAATAAAGCAGAAATCCTTCTGTACACTACCTGAAGTGGCAAATGATAGGATGAATAATGAGGAACAGCTGCTGCAGAAGGACAAAATCCAGCATATGTTAAGAGCTGCTGAGCTGGGTTGTAAAGAATCTGTGGTGGAGGAGCAGAGCTGAAGGCAATTTGAGAAATAGGTACCTGTGGAACAAAAGATGCATGCATTTTGTTTATTTCCAAATACGAATTTCCAAATATTTATGCAATACTTTTTCCATCTGGCTTTTCCATCTTTTTCCATTAATATATAACATTTTCCATAGCATGCTATAGCAAAAGATGAAAAATCAAAAGAATTCATCCCTTCCTTTTATTCTAAAAAAACTATTACTTGCTCTGTTTGGTGCCAATCATTTCCATTTATTCCTTCTAAAAACACTCAAGGCCATGAGCAAGTGGTGTAACTGACAAGGCCCCATTCCTTAATGCGAACCAGAATGTATGCAGTACACTTCCTTGGGGTAACTGCTGCTGTATTAGTTCTACTGCAGCCTTCCCAACTTGATCCCCTCCAGAAGTTTTGGAATGCAACTCCCAAGGGTCCCAGCTAGCATGGCCAACAATCATGTAGCCAATAATGGAGAACACCAGGTTAGGGAATCTGGTTCTTCTGCATCAGTGGGACTGGAATACGCTAAGCGCCTCAGCTGAGGACAGCTATGTTTTGAAGAAATTGTTCTACCTAAAACATTCTCTCTGTTTTGGGGGGTTTTTGCTAATAACGTGACAAAGGAAAGCAGCAAGTTGAACAGAAGGCAGTTGGCATGACACCCAGTTCAGCACTCTTGCAGAAATCACGAGTGCAAGTCAGAATGCCTGGGGTGAAGAAGAAAGCAATGTGGGAATAAAGATATGCTAGTAGCAATGGGCTGCTGTGCAGTGGCAAATAACCCAATAATCTTCCACACATAGGCAGAAGCTTTTACTCCTTGACAGAGCTGTTTCATTTAAATTTAACCTTATATCTTTGCCCAGAAACATTTTAAAAATCTGAGTACACTGCATCAAGGGGGAGATGACCTGGCAAAATAATTGTCTTTCCTTTACTTACTCTTGCTTTCCAACATCCTTTTGGATGCCTTGACTTGTCCTATTTAACATCTTCCTACAATCCAGTCCTAACCTTTGGCACTGCTCTCAGGAAAGTAGAAAGAAAAAACAACAACCACAAATCTTTCAACATATTGCTTCACCAGATAAAACAAGCACATCAGCAGTAAACTGAAAACTAGGACACTAAGAAAAAAATTTCTGAAGTGTATTGCAAAAGCTACTGTGTTTTGACCATTTTTCATTTTCTTGTTTAAAAAAATAACACAATAATTTACACATATGCATCCCTCTTCTTCGAAATATTTGGTACTTATTTTTGTCCTTTCTTGCTTTAGAAATAAGAGAGAAAGGGAGTCCATAAGCTGCTTATTGATTCTGATCAGCTTTGCTGGAAGCCAAATGAGCTTGCTACAGAGCAAGTGAGCGGATATGTGATTGCTAGCATATTTTGTTTCTTTGCCTTTGTTTTAGATCTTCATTTCTGGTTTCTATGACTCTAGGTTAACACTTTCAGCAAGCTGTAAGATATTGAGATGCAAATTTTATGTCAAAAAGGGCTACTTGTTTTTCCTCTTTGGAAGTCTGAACAGCAGGTGTTGCATTGTATGGCCCTTGGTCTCAACCTGCTGCAGAGAGCTGGATTTTATCCAAAAAGTAAATAGGAGCAAGTGCTCAAACAGGGTGAAATACCAGTTCAGACTGCCTTTCCTTTACTTGTCTACTGAGTTTCATGACTTGTCTTCTTTTATTCACCAGTGTGTAATGTGTCTTATTCAAGGCAAACTGGATACCATAAAGCAAGAAATGGAAGGGTTAACATCACACTACTTGGCGTGAGCAAACTAAAGTGCACTGGAATGGAACACTTACAGTCAGACAAAGAGTTTTACTCCGAAAGTGACAAACTTGAATGAAATGGAATGGCTCTTATACTGAGGCAAGATGGTGCACAGGCAGTAAGGACAATAATGGTCTGACTGACTCATATCAATCAGAATTTTCATAAAGCTTCTCCGTATAAGCATAATTCAAGTCTACACTACAATAACAAATGCTGAAGAAGAAGAGACTGAAAACTTATGGAAGACTTCAAGAGGAAATTGATAACACAACACCAAACAAGCCATGCTGATAATCACAGGTGACTGGAATGCAAAAGTAGGTAACAGAGCAGAATCGTATGTTGTGAGGGAGAATTATGCCCAGCAGTCAGAAATGAAGCAGGAGAACAATTCACAGAAGTGGGTGAAGCCAATGATCAGTTTTTTGCAAACACATCAGGCTACCGTTCAGACAATTATACACGTGAGTGACACCAAATGGCTGGTACAGAAAACAAACATAATTGGAAGCAGAAAATAGAGAAACAGTATTCTTGCTTCCAAAAGTAGACTAGGAGCAGACTGTTGTAGTGACCATGAACTATTAATTAAAAAAAATCAGAAAAAGCTGAAAAGGTTCACTAATAGAAACCTAGTAACAAAACACCACTTCAATACCATTCTTGAGGAATTTCAAGTCCACATAGAGAACAGATTTGCATCACAGAACTCAAATGACCATGAATCAGAAGAACTTTGGAATTAAACCAGAGGCATTATTAGGGAAAATGCAGAAAAATTTCTGTAGCAAATAAAAATTCTAGAAGATTGGTAGAAGAAACACTCTCAGTTGCTAAGGAAAGGTCAGAAGCAAATGCAAAAGTTAAGAGAAATGGGGTTAATTTTCCAGCAAGTGCAACTCCCACTTTCTCCTCACTACTACTACTATACTTTTATACTTCTCCATAGCCCACTGGGCCCTCAGGACAGTTTACATGTTTAAACATATACATAGGAACAAAAATAATCATATTTAGAAAACATTAAACAATAAACACAACAAATCAACAACCCGCAGGCAAGAGACCCAGCCTCAAACTGCTGAAACAGCACCAAACCAGCAATGCCCTTTGAGACAAAAATATATGTATTGAGATATATAGAGACAAAAAGAACTATTACAAAGGCAAATGCAAAGAAATAAAAGAACAAAAGAAGAGGAAAAACAAGAGACCTTTTCCAGAAGATCCAAGAAATCGATTGGAAATTTAAACCTAGATTAGGAATGCTAAAAAAACCCAAGAGGGAAGCGTACTATCTGACAGGATAGAACAGTGATGGTGAACCTTTTAGAGATCGAGTGCCCAAACTGCAACCCAAAACCCACTTATTCATCGCAATGTGCCAACACTGTAATAAAACCTGAAAACTGAGGTTTTAGTTTAGAAAAACAACTCACACCCAGTCAGAGCAAATATATATATATCCTTGGCAGCACACTGACCGGCCATGTGAAAGCTCGGACAAGTCACAGCTAACGAGTTGTGGCTCGCGATGTCATCACCTGGCACCACTACTCCTTTCCATGGCCCCTATGTATGCTGTTATCCGATGCTCGGCCGCTGGGGTGGTTTAGCTCATGTGCTGACAGAGAGGGCTCTGCGTGCCCACTGTGGCATGCATGCCATAGGTTCACCACCACTGGTATAGAAGGTAGAAACAATATACAGAAGAAATGGACAGAAGAAATAAAAGGATGCCAACTCCTTCAAAGAGGAATCCTAAAAGGAACAACCTGTGGTATTAGAAAGGAAAGTGAAAATTTCTTTGAAAGCACTTGGAAAGGCATAAAGCCTCTGGAGTAAATAGGGTGCCAACAGAACTCTTCCAAGCTTCCAAGCTCTTCTGAATCAGTCCAAATGCTAACAAGACTATACTGACAAATATAGAAAAAAATCCCACAGACTAGAAACGTTCTACATGCATTCCAATTCCCAAGAAGGGAGATGCAATGGAGTGTGGCAACTACAGGATCATTGCACTAATTTCCCCATGCAAAAAAAATTAATGCTCAAGGTGTTGTAACAAAGAATTTTAACCACATATGCAATGAACAATGTCTGACATTGAAACTGAATTCTGGACAGGAAAGGGCACTCAAGATAATATCCCAAATATACATTGGCTACTGGAGCACACCAAAAAATTTCAGAAGCTCAGTCTGTGCACTATAGACTATAGCAAAGTCTGATAGTTCTGAAAAATGAATATTCCTCAGCACATTATTGTCCTAATGTATTGTGGCCAAGAGAGCTACTGTTAGGACCAGGGCTTTTTTTGTCATAGAACGCACCGGAACGGCGTTCCGGCACCTTTTTTTGACGGCTTTTTCCATGTGATTGTGAATCGCCCTGTCGGGTGTAGCAGGTCGACGGCAAAATCATTAAAATCGTGCATGCGGGCTGCTTGTGTGTCCGCGCTGGTTGTGATGGCGTTGCTCGGCTTTTGACGCTGCTCGGCTTGTGATTGGTCTGCGCTGAGTGCTTACTGCCGGCAGCGACCATTATGTTTGTGTGTGTGTAGAGTGACTGACCCCAAGAGGTGAGTTCTGGCATCTTATATATATATATATTTTTTTACAAAAAAAGCACTGGTTAGGACAAAATATGGAGAAACGGAAAAGGTTTTACACAAAGGTATCAGACAAAGTTGCATTCTATTTCCCTATCTATTCAATCTGTACACAGAACATATAATAAGAAAAACTGAATTAGGATTGGTGAAAAATACTTCAATGATTTAAGAAATGAAGATGATACATTTTACGGGCAGGAAGCAGCAATGAATTCAGGCTGAAAGTAAAAGAAATTGCGAAAGCAGGACTGCAGCTGGACATTAAGAAAAATCATGACTGCAGAAGTACCGCAGTACTACCAAGAAGGAAAAAATGGTATTGTGAAAGCCTGTGCATACCCTGGCAACTGCATTCAGGGAATTAGACTTTGTAGGACTGCAATGAAAGAAGTAGAAACGATGCTCAAATGTAAGGATGATTCACTGGCGACCAAGGCCAAGATCATTCAGATTATTGCATTCCTGATCACTGTGTGTGGGTGCAATAGTTGGGCATTGAAATGCAGGAGGAAAGCTCTGTGAATGGAGAGCTGCGTCCTGCAGTCTCTGGGCACAAGATTGGCCATTTTTTCAGTGCCAGGTTAAGATGGCCCTCTTTGTAGAAGCCTTTAAAAACCTCCCTGGTCATTCAGGGGCCTGCTACAATTAGCTCAGTGCCCTTATTTTACTCTTGGCCAGGCCTTTTAAAATTGTTTTTAACTGACTTCATTGACTTTTAATCTTATTTTCTGTTATTTTAAATTATGTTTAAATACTTAATGTTTTTATCTATTATATTTTAATGTTTTAATAGTTTTTTGTAAACAGTCCAGAGAGCTTTGGCAATTGGTGGTACAGGAACGAAATCATCACCATCACCATCTTGGATCAACAGAAAGATGAACAAGTGGGTCCCAGATAAAACCAAGCCAAAACTTTCCTTGGAAGCAAGAATGATTACACCGAAGCTGTTGTACTTGGAGCACATAATCAGAAAGCAAGACTTCACTGGAGAAGCCAATAATGCTAGGCAAAGCTGAAGGCAGAAGGGGAACGCCAAATATGAGACTGATCAATTTTATAAAGGAACCCACAGCTTTGATTTACAAGAGTTGTGCAAGGCTGACAAAGGCAGGGCATTTTGGAGGGCGCTCATTCATAGGGTTGCCAAAGGACAGGGACAATTTGATGGCACGTGACAACAACAAATATGCCCTACACTTGTAAGTGAAGCGGGAGCTAGATAAATAGGTTAACAAAATTGGTAGCTAGCAAGTAACACAGAAAAAAAATATTCAAATACCATCCACTAAAACATAAGTCTGATAGCTCTGGTCTGCAAAAAACAAAAACAAAACCCAAAACAAAACAAAAACAATTTAATGTTCTTCTTCGTGGTCTCTGTACGATCCCAACAATGGGCTTGACACAGAGCGCAAGGCCTCGATCGGAGAGAACCTCCAAAGCTCGGTGCCACGGAGAGGGCAGGAGCCCGGTCAGCCCTCTGCACAGGCAGCATAAAGGGGGGGGGGCTCCCACCAGGGCCCTCCGTTCCTTTTCGATCGCACTTCAAGCTCACCTCGGATCGGACTTTCCACTTTGCTCCATTTACCTGGTTCGCCATTTTACCTTTCCTCCTTTTCTTCTTCGTTCCTCTCTCCTTCTCTTTATAAAAAAAAGCTTCTCTTCTTTTGCGCCTTTACTTACCACTCTAGAGAGAGAAGCCTACCGCCTTTCTCTCTTTCTCCCTTTCTCTCTTTCTGCCGTGAAACAACCCCCCCCCCCCGGGTTTCTCTTCTCCCTTCTCCCCCTTTTCTTTCCTCTCCTCGGCCATGTGTGTTCCATTTTGAACCACATGGCCGACTCTGCTCCACGCCACTGCGCCTCCTGGGCAGCTCAAATGCCACCAACGACAAGCATTCCAAATGCCTCCTCTGCCTTGGCGAGGGGCACACCGTGGAGACTTGCCTGAGCTGCCAGGCTTTTAAAAAGCAGACGCGGTGGCAGAGAGCCACGTGCCTCCAGCAAGCCTTGTGGCAGCGGGCCCTCACAGCCATCACCCCCTCCAGGGTAGACAACCCCCCCTGAGGCCACCCTCCACCTCCTCAATGTCAGGAGGGCCCTCACCTTCTACAAAGCCCAGACTGAGCCTCTCCGCTGCTCTGAGCGCCTCTGAGGGCCCCAGAGCCGGTGAACCCGTCTCCAGCCAAAGACTCTCTAAGTGGGTTTCCAGCACCAGCACCCTTGCCTACGAGATGGCTAGAATCCCGTGCCCTCATTCCACACGTGCTCAAGCCACAACTACTGCACTGCTAGCTGGTACCTCTCTCCAAGAGCTCTGTAAGGCTGTGACATGGGTCATGCCTTCGACCTTTGTCCGCCACTACCAGCTAGATGTCCGTGCCAGACGGGACTGCGCCTTTGGAAGGGCCATTCTCTCTTCAATTCTTCAGTGACGACAGCCCCTCCTCCTGGACAGTAAGCTTGCTAATCGCCCATTGGTGTGATTGCACAGAGACCACGGAGAAGAAAGGTAGGTTTGAGTGGTTACTGGCCCACGTGATTTCATTCGCACAACCCGCCCCCTGCCCCGCTGGCTATCGTCAGCTTTTCGCCCAGTGTGGGCTGGAGCAGGGCGCAGTCACCGCGATATCCTCCACAGATTCCTCGGATACCTTGCACCCCGGGACAGTGTGGTCTTTAGGCAACTGAGGGACTGCGCGGGACCCCCCCCCCCTTTATGCTCCCTGCACAGGGGGAGGGCCAGACTTCCACCTACTCCATGGCACTGAGCTTTGGAAGTTTTCTCTGAAAACTGGCAGTTCCAGTTTTCTCTGATCGAGGCCTTGCGCTCCAGGTCAAGCCCTTTGGTGTGAATGCATGAATGACCATTCGAAGAACAACAGTTACAGGTAAGCAACCTGCCTGAACTCAGAGTGATGCGCCAGTTTTTCAGTGAACACAATTTACTTCTGCAAGTGACAATGCTTCTAGATGACATTACTGCCAACTATTTTTCAGAGAATGTGACCCAAGGATAGAAAGTCAGCAGTACCACAGGATCAACGAACATGCATGTGCCATCTTACCCACCTCCCCCACACCAGAAAGAGCAGCTTCTGCATGTTGTGAATGGGCATATGAAAGGAGAACAGCTGTTTTGAGATGGCATGTTAAAACAAGAAAATGGCAGATGCTTACTATAAGTCCAGCTTAGTGCAGTTATACTGGGGTGGGGGGGATGCTTTCAGATACTCAGCCCACCCATGGATTATCATTAAATGATTACTCTTATTTATTTATGAATTTATTTAAAGTTTTTATATCCCACCCTTTACAGGGTGCCTCAGGGGGCAATAAAATAAATAAGACACAACATAACAATTAATATAGAAATTCAGTTTTAAAAATTACTAACATTTAAAATACAGGGAAAATAAAAAGGGGTTGGGCTGGCACCAAAATGAAAAAAGCGTTAGCGCCAGACGCACCTCTGCGGGGTGAATAGGTTCAGGCAGCTGAGACACAGAACGGCATCTGTGCCAGGAACAGGAACTATGTGGTTCTCCAGATGATGTTGGCAGTTCCAGCTTCCATCATCCCTAATTATTGGCTCTGCTGGCTAAGCCTGTTTGGAATCGCAGTCCACCAATATCTAGGGACCCACATGGCCCCATCCCTGACTTATGCTTTTTAGGGAAGTGGCTGCCTGTCATTGAAGGAACGACAGAATGTATAGAGATGAATTCCCTTAGAGATGAACGTATCAAACAGCTGCACTAATAGTAGTTAATGCAACTTGTTCAATAATAATAAAAATGCTGATGGTGATGCTGATTTTTCCTTTCTATACTGTCCACAAGACAAAGGTCTGTGGGCAGTTATCTGGGTCAACTGCTGGAAGGCATCTATGCTCACCCTATACCACCAACTTTCTGAGGCAGTTTTCCATAAATGTGCCCCCTAAAATGACAAGTATCATGAAATAAGATGGAAGTACACACACCCTACCCAAGCCAGACTGCATATGTCCTGTTTATCAATGGATTTTAAGTACCTCGCTGTGCAGATTTATCACAAAGGGCAGCTGCTTCTGGGGAAAGTTGGAGGGCTGTATGCAGCTCGACCTCCCCAGTTCCCTCTCTTCTTCCTGTGTCCAGTTTCAGGTCTGCTTCTCTGTGCCTTCCAGAATGCATATCCAGAAGAGGAAGTATCTAGTGGCCATTTCATAAATTCAAACAGAGCTAGAAGAACTCTGCCTGATTTGGTGGTGTGAACATGTGCACAGCACCCTAGTGGTATGTGCACTAACACAGCACATGAAAGTGGTTGTGCAATTTCTTGTGCAAACAGTTTCATGAGCAGAACATCAGCTGAATTCTCCCCTTGTGCAGAGTTCGGAGCCTAGTTTCTGCCAGCACAATGGAATTTGCACCAGTAGTATGACGGCATCAGATACTGCCCCATGCGCTGGGCATAAACCATCTCCTTAGTGCTTTCCACCTGACATGTTTCACTGTGATTATGAATAAAGCAGTGCTTCAGACGGAATGATCAAGCAGGCTGCTACTTAGAGATCCAGTTTATGGGGGTGCAGTACCCATGGGCTGCTGAACATGTAGACAAGCCAGTCTCAATCTGCATATGTTAGTTAGTCAGATTGTTGGCAGTAAGACCAGTCATTTGAATGGAGCAAGCAAGGGGGGCAAACAGGGCTGCTAAAAGGAGTCTTTAAAACTCAGTAACAATTCACGCACCTAGAAATACTCTCTCTTGAACCTGCATCTAGCCCTGTCCTATAAAGGGGATCTTTGACATGTTGACTTAACTCATCACCATCACTATAAAATTCCATGGACTTTGCAAGGGTTAATTACCACATCTTTAAATGCTCCAAGGATGGCTGCTGTGACAATGCCAAGAAACAATCCAATGATGTTCAAGACCGTGGAGGACCAGAGCAGCCGATACAAGTGGACCACATCCTGGCAGCTGCTCACGCCCAGGAACTCGTAATAGCTGGTAGAGTGTTCTGAGCTGGCAAGAAGAGAAAACAGGAAGCAGTTCATGGAAGCAGGAACACCATCCCAGTCCAGCCCCACCCCATTCCCATACTGTGGGGTACTCAGAAACAGTGACCGTCTGCTCAACTCTGACAGAAAACAGCCACTTTCTCCCTCACTCCTCACATTCAACGATTGCTCTTGGGCCAATGGATGGGATTCCTGGTATTACAACAAGTTGCTAAAGATCATGACTGAAGGATTGTTTTAATGAGTGTTTCTCTTGGAAGGCGATAAATAAGCTGAATGCTGAGTGGCATTTTAACATCTCTGTTCAAATATTGTGTGCTGCCCGATGCCTTGTCAATTGGGTAAGCCAAAATTTCCATACTGTAACATAAAACGTTCAAAAACATTTTTAACAGCTGCATGTAACCAGCAGTCTGAATGAGAGAGAGAGAGAGAGAAAATGAGAATGAATCGGGGTAGAAAGCATACATGTAAATCAGAGCCAAAATCTTGGTGGAAAATTGGAGCGATCATCTTAGCTGTAGTCATAGAATCTCCAGTGCTACTTTTCATCATTTTCAGTCTCTTGCAGGACATTAAATTCCTTGTACATGCATCTGTGTGGGGGGAGGAGGTTTTGAGAGGAAAGGATTTACATGCAGAGCAGGCAGAACATAAACCCTCGCACCACTGTTGCCTTTTCCCCATTGAACTTCTATTTAGCAATAGACCATCCGAATGGGAATAGAAGAGGCCAGACTGGCGTATTATACTTGGTCATCCGCGTATTATACTTGGTCATCCACATCAATTGGGTTGTATTAGACCGCCAGCTAATAGTACTGGCAAGCTATACTGTTGTTTCTTCCCAGATTTTAAGAAGATTAGAAATACATGCCTGGGGGAAAAACACTTTGTGAATGGAGAATCTCCACAAACCCACCTCCTCCACCCAGCAAGAGCCTTCTGCTATTATCGGTCAAATACTTACTTTTCACAGTTGTATAAATTGCAGCAGTAGCAGGTATTACTCTTCACCTTCAGCTGACATTTGTTGTTTAAGGTGTAACACGTTACCTGAAGGAAGAAAAGAAGGCTCCGTATCTTTATTAAGGCTAGTTAAGTTTCTGGTGACATGCATCTGGGGAAGTGCTGCAGCCAGAACTTTGCTCTAAACTAGTAAGGGGTCATTTTGGCAACAAGAGGTGATTAACAGTGCTACTTGTGCAAGTTGATTGTTATAAGGAGCACCTTCCTCTTATTCGAAGGTGTGCCTCTGATACAAGCACCACTTTGCATCAGTCATATGTGTGGGAAATGAAATAGCTACTTCACAGATCTATGAATTGAAGTTTTTGTGTTTACAAACTTAAATGTCAGACAGACCAATTCTTTTGAAAAGAGTGTAACAGGCCACAGTATTACAATAGCACATTTGTGGGAGGGCTCAGAAGTGGGCACATTTTAGAAACAAATTGAACATACTAAAATTCCATTCTAAAACACTGAAAATGGTCACAACTTCCCCAGGATTGCACCTAAATATTCCAACACAACTCCCTGAAAAGTGGGTTTATGCATAGGATCCCCCAAAATAGCCTGTTTCCTGTAATGGAGAGAGAGCTTTAATTCTTGCCTGAGGCTGCCCCACTTTTGAACTAAATGAAGAAGCCTAGAAATAGGCACCTGGTTGGAGAAGGCTAATCTAGTATTCCTAGTGGTAACTATTTCCATAATTAACAGTAACGATATCTGTAAGCAATTTCTGAGATATGAAAAAAACATAGATGATGCATGCTTGGCTTTTTGCAAGAAGTATAGTAAAACCTTGGTTTGCGAGCATAATTAGTTCCGGAAACATGCTTGTAATCCAAAGCACTTGTATATCAAAGCAAATTTCCCCATAAGAAATAATGGAAACTCAGATTATTCATTCCACAACCCAAAAATATTCATATAAAATGATTACAGTACTGCAATATAATACAAAATAATAAAGAAAATACAAAATATAAAGAAAAGTAAAACAAATTAACCTGCACTTATCTTTGAAAACCTTCGTGGCTGGTGGGAGGGAGACAAGAGAGAGGAGGGCTACTGCGTACAACGACTTTCACTATCACTAACGGATTCACTGCTACCTGTTGGCTCAATGGAATCTTTTTCTTTTCGTACAACTTTAACAAGGAACCTATCCAATGACACTTGCTTTTGCCGCCTTTTGAGGATTTTGTGGAAATGTGACATTACATTGTTGTTAAACAGATTCATCTCTTGCACTGCTACAGCCTTATTTGGATGGTGCTTTTCTACAACATTTTGCAGTTTGCCACATTTTACACATCTCCCTACTCTCATTTGAAGTGAGGGATTGCTCCGTCTTTTTCTCCTCCCCCTCCGTAGACGAGATCCCCTCCATAACCTCTTGCATCTGCTTTACCTTTCAGTATCTCCCTGGGGGGGGGGGATACTGAAAGGTAAAGCAGATGCAAGATTCTAACCTTGTAGTACAACACACCATGCACTCCTCCCACACAAGCCTTGAAGTCCACAGTTAAAACCTGACATGATATTTAAACAGATCTACACAACAAAACACCAAATATACACCAAATCATTGGAACAGTTAAGTAGAACCTGATTTAAGTTAGTCAATGTCAGTGCACAGCACTAAACAACCTAAGACTCTAATAAAAACAACTCCTTTGTCTTCAGAATGAGCATATGCCTTGCGTTAACCAACAAGGAAATGCTGTCAGCTTAAAGCTGCTTCCAGTGCAATCCTATGGATGTTTAGACAGAAAAACAGTTCTGTAATCCCTAGCATACCGTCCCTTCCTGGAGGGATGCTGGGAGTTGTAGGACCACAGCGAGAGAGAGAGAAGAACCATTGGCTCAGTTGTGATCATGTGATGTTTGGTGTCATGTACTACTCGTATTGCAAGACATTGCTCTTTTATCAAGTTAAAATTTATTAGAAATGTTTGCTCATCTTGCGGAACACTCACAGAACAAGTTACTTGCAATCCAAGGTTTTACTGTACTGCTATTTGTTTTTTCAGTTCCAGATCTGCTTTATTAATTTCCCATATTCTGCTACTTTAACCTCCACTTTGGCATTTCAATTTTAGAAATATTATACATCCAACGTAAGTCACAATGTCAGTTTCTTCATCCCAACTGAGGACTGCCCGGCATCAACTTTTTTTTTTAATCTTTCTGGGGCCAGGTAAAGACTGTTGTCTACTGCAGGACATTTAATTATTCTACAGAGGTCCAATAGCTTTTTTTAAAAAATAGGTCCTCAGATTTTCTTCTAGTTATTATATTTTTAAGCTTTTAAAATTTAGTTTTAATTTTGCATTGTAAATTTTATAACATTTTAATATGCTGTATTTTATACTGTATTTCTAATATGCTGTTGTGAACCACCCAGAGAGCTTTGGCCATTAGGCAGTATGATTAATTGATTAATTCCTAACAATGGGCAATTCCATTTTGTTGGAAATAAAGAGCAAGCTGATACAGAGTTGTGTGAAAAATTAAATTCCACATCAAGAAATTATATCCAAATTCTGCTATTTTGATAATAAACGAGTGTGTCCATGTAACTTGCAAAATCCTACTTTTCAAAGGACTACTGAGATGGTTGCAGAGACTGGGGAAATTAGGTAATGATAATGAATATACAGGTGAAGTACAAGGAGAAACATGGGATGAATTAGGAGTCTAAAACAGGATCTTTCGAACATGGAAACAGAAGTGAGAGTTCACAGGATGTGATTATGTGCTGCCAAGTCATCTCTGACTTACGGCAACTCTATAAATGAAAGTCCTCCAAAATGTCCCATCCATGACAGCCCAGGTCTTGTGAATTCAAGAGAAGTCAACCCATCTCACTTTGGAGCTTTCTTTTCTTCTTCTGCCTTTGACTTTCCCTAGCATGATTGTCTTTTCTGAAGAGTTTTGCCTTCTCGTGATGGGCCCAAAATATAGACAGCCTCAGCTTTGTCATTTTTGCTTTGAGGGAAAGCTCTGGCTTGATTTGATCTAGAGACACTTATTTGTCTGTCAGTCCAGGGTACTTGGAAAGCTCTCCTCCAAGCACCATGTTTTGAATACATCCATTTTCTTCTTGTCAGCTTTCTTCACTGTCCAGCTTTTACACTCATACATAGTGATCAAGAATACAATTGTATGGATGGTCTTGGCCTTGGTCTCCAGTGAAACCCACCTATGCGTGACCTTTTCTAGATGCTTCACTGCAGCCCTTCCAAGTCCCTTCTTCAACTTTCTGGGCTGCAGTCTCCATTTGAATGAGCCAATGTATGCACAGTCTTTCTCCAATGTCAATTTCTTCATTGTTAACAAAGTTCTGCAATTCTCCTGCAGCCCTGATTTTTGTTTTCTTGATATTCAGCTGCAGACTGCTTTTGCACTTTCTTCTTTCAATTTCACCAGATAATGTCCACATTTTTATCCACTCACCAATTGAAATAAGACAAAAGTGACATCTTCAGGAGGCCTGTGCCACATATTGGTTTCCATGCTTACATACTGTAGCAATCTTAATAATATGTAAACCTAACAAAAAGCTGTGGGTAAGTCATAGCCATAAAGCTGCTTCAGACAAGAATGCTTTCTACAGAAACAATATGTCAGATCTGAACTCTGCACATGCATATTTGCTACTCTGCTGCTTAACAATGGAGCCCTACACATGTCTATTTTTAGCAAGGGTGCAAGCTTATTGGTTCTACAGGACTTCTCAGCAGCTTTTGAAATGATCAACCTTCTCATCCTTCAGGATCCTTTATCAGGACTGGGACTGGGAGACACAGATTTACCATGATTTTGGTCCTTCCTGGAGGAACAGTTCCAGGTGGGGGACTTTTCTTTCAACCCATGGCTGTGGGGTATCCAAAAATTCTGTTCTGCCACCCCCTCCATTTTTTAAATATCTAATTGAACATGCTGCAGGAGGTCATCAGGGGGGTTGGATTGAAGTGTTGTCAGTATACAGGCTGAACTCATGAATCAGTCGGTGTTTGGAGGCTGTTTTGGGGTGAGTGCAGATAAAAAGCTGAAATGGAGACCAGACATGATAAGCTAGTTAGGAAACTGCTTTGGATGGAGGTTCACAACTGGTCTTTGATGGCATTCCACTCCCGCTAAAAGACCTGCAGCACAAAACTGAAAGTCCTCCTGGAATGGCAGGTGCAGCCCCATCCAGAGAGTATGGACCTTGCTGCAGTGATGCGTACAGAAGTCACATCAGGATGGACTGCAGTCATATGCTGCCTGGTGGGGCTCCCTTTGAAGACGAATCAGAAAATCCAGCTTGTGCAGAATGTGGCTGCCTGAAGGTTGCTTGGGACCATGTTATCATTTAATACCTTGACAGCAAAAGCTGCACTGGTTGCCAGTGGGTTTCTGGGCTTCATTTACATCTAAACAATGTTGGACGAAATTACTTGGACTGCTTGCACCCATATCAACCTGCTCACATGTTACAATTAGTAAAAGAGGCCCTTCTCATTTGCCTACCAGTGAGAGCAGTTAAGTGGATGATTACACATTGAGAGTCCTTTCTGGAGTTGTAAGCATGCAGTGCTCCAGCAGACAGAAGATCTCGGAAATGTATTTACTCTGGCCTTCTTCTAATAAGATCACTCCTTTTATTGATGGTTTTTCTGATTCGTCTTCAAATCGCATCTTTTGATTGTGCAGTTATTTTTATTCAGATTTAAGCTCTTAATACCATGCAAGTTTTATGTGTTTTACTGCTTTACAAGACTTTCAATTCTAAAAGCAAGAATTATAAATAAATATATATTTTAAAAACATGTTCTCACTGATTTCAATGCCACGTACTTCCTGATAGGAAAGCACTGAAGCCTAAGGGCATTTAACTAGTCATCTTTTAAAAAGCAAGCATAATGAAAGAGCAAACCCGAGCCCCTACCCATACATCTATTTCATACATTTTAAGTAGATGCATACCTAAAACTATATACATACACAAGTACAGTTGACATATGATATGCGACATATGCATTTTGTACTTGGGTATTATAAATATCTAAAAAATCATTTGAAAAATGTTTGGGACTTATTCTCGGTGGCCTGCAATATGTGTTCAGGAAGTTTTCCAATGAAGTACTAGAATCGGGTACTGGTACAATGCTCAGACCTTGGAATCGCAGCATGTGCTAGCTTTGTTTCTAAAAAACTAAGTTTCTAGCCCTTAAGATGAAAAGTCAGGATCTTCAGAAGCCATTATGTGGAGCAGAGAAGTATTTCCTAAAGTCAAAAACCAAGGCTCCAGTATGAGTTCTTTTCCTTTTCCTACTACTAGCAGAGGTAGAACAAAATATGTGCATCAGGCAGATATGCAAATATTATTAATGTGTGTCAGTATTATGGCACAGAAAGCACCATTTCTTGGTGTAGAGTTTGGATGACACCTAAGGGCTGACTTTATTTCTGTCTTTTAAAATTTGTTTTCATAAAACATAACAGAAACAAAGATGTTTCTTCAGTCTGTTTTCATTAAAAGTCTGATTGTCTAAACCTGCTATCTCCTCCTCTTGGCTGCAGAACAATGATTTAAAAAACCCATGAATACAAAATGCAGACATTCATCGACTGTGTCAGTTCAGTACAATGGAGATTTGTTGTTTCGTGCCCAATATAAGACTATTAACTTAACTTGGGTACATATGACAGTTTGCCACTCAGTAAAAAATTCTCAGGAAAAAAATTGCTACGTCTAATTTCAAGGAAACATTATACAACAAGAATGGAATGAGGCTAGGAAGTTGATGCCAAAGCAAATATTCCTGTTACAAATACGATAGCTAAGGGTGTGTGACTGAGTGCTGAGGTTAGAAAACAGTCATGTGTTCAGTCACCTTGTAAGTAACCTTCCCTTCCATAAAGCTGCAAATTAACTGAACTGCAGTAGTTTACCTCTGTCTGGTAGGCATCATATAAAAATCCTTCTCCGCTTGAATAATACTGGCATCGTTTATTATATAAAGGCCTGGGTTCCTGGAAGAAGAGGAAAAAATGATATTCATAATTATGTATTTTGAAGCCTGACCACAATATCTGACTTAACATCAGCCACCCCATCTCTCTCAAGCTCTTCATGTTTTAAGTTAAAGTTGGAAGTCCATTTAAATATCCACAAAACACTCTCCATATGCTTCCTTTAGATTTGCAAGATGGGTTATATACACTAGAAAAATAATCTATGCATGCATAGACTGTTCCAAAAATGGGCCCAATCCATTCAGTGACATTTGGAAGGCTCAGCTGTGGCAAACCAAATCTAGATTGGAGCTCACAAAGTATTTCCAAGCAAGAACAGCTGGGCAATTATGAAAGTGCCGAGTTTCCTGGGAAAACATTGGTTACCTTTGGATAATCCTTCATATGAAAGTTTGGAAGACTGGGAATTAGCTGTGGCTCACACACACTTACTTTCTCCCAATGGCTTAATGAATTACTTCCTTGTTTAATCAAAGTAGAGCAGCCAGGAGTAGCACTGGATCCGAGAACACACCCAAAGAGCAAACCCAAGTTTTCAAAAGTTGAACCTCAGAGCACTCCAGAGTTTCACCTGCTCCAGAATCAATTACATTCCTCACCAATGGCACTCTGTCCAGTCTGAACTATTTGAACTGTATCTCATTGGCCCAATGTGCCAGCAAACCATCCTACTGTTTGTCCGCTTGCTATGTTAAGTTCAGGTATGCTCACTTAAAAGCCCTGTGAATCTGAAATGTCTAAAAGGTTCTAAACAAGATTCCAAAATTGTACTTGGTTTGCTTCTATACATTGATATAACCTATTCCAACATAACACCTCAAAAAAGCTAATATCACTTCATGCTTTTGGCCCACAAAAGATGCCCAGGTTCTCAGAGTTGAGAGTATGTCTACTTTTCTCAATATCCATTTGTGTATAGACCGAGGTCTACATCCATATTAATAGTAAAACATCAATATTAAGCTGGCCCTCATGGGTTGTGCAGTGCTAATCAAGGTGATCTGCACTGTATTGTCACACTAATCCAACATCAACTTGGGAGGCCCAAGCGATAAACAAAAATAACAGATGCAGTTCTGTCAGAGTTGGCTACTGGCCTTGAAAACATGATTTTTGAAACCTTACTGGCTCTGGTTTAGCATCCAACACTGCAAATATTTTTCTTTGAGATTATTAGTGTTTGAGTTTTCAAAAATCATGATAAATGCTAGTAGCTCTGAAAAATGGTATAAATGTATGTGTTAATATACAGAAGTAATACTGGCATCTGTTTTTTTTTTTTTTTTTTTTGCAGTATGTTAGGGCTTCACACTGAAGAATTATTTGGCTGGGAACCTGCCTCTCCGGCTTACAGAGGAGGAGGCTGCCTCATATCAGAGCCTCAAAATGAGACAGCCCTTAAGCCTCAGTTCCACTGAAAGTCACCTTTCAGTCTTCCCCAATTGACTTTAATGGGGGAGGGAAGACTGACAACCTCTTTATTTTTTGCAGAGTTGGATTAAATCTGCAAAACAAGTAATCCCTTCAAGATGAAGCCTGTTAAATATCCAACAAATAGGTGCAGAAGGTTTTGTGCTGCATGCCTTCAATATTGGAAGGTTTTAAAAAGAGTTGTTCTACCACACTCACCCAAGGCAGGCCCAAAGCCTTTGCACAAACAAGATTCACCTGCCCTTTTGGAGTTTATTTGCAAAACTTCAAGACAGAGGCATTTACCCCAGATTCATACTTCATATGAATTGTTTGCCCCAACCTTAAAATGGGGCACTCAACATCCCTTTCTTCTTCGTCTCACTTCACTGACCTAGGAGCATGAAGATTTATAAATACTGCCTTTGGATGTAATACTAAACTGTGGATTAGCACTACAAGTCTCAGGCTTGTCCACTCCTCCTCTGCTTCTTTGGTGCAGCTGTGAGGAGATCAGAAGCATCTGCTTTCATTTTAAGTGTGGTTTATTATACTGATTGAACTGAGAAAAACAAGTTTGTCTGAACAAACTAGTTTGACACTGTTGCTTACTACCCTGGTTTGTTCAGACAAATCATACTTGACACCTTTTTAATTGCCTTGCCAGAGGAGGAAGGGAGAGGGCAAACAGGAACCGTACGGAAAGCCACTCATTATTTTCTAATTTTGTCTGTGTTTACATTACTGTAAATTTTATTATACATTCCTATACTGACAGTAATTATAGTTTATTACCTATTTAACTTTACTAGACATTTTGAAACATTTCTAAAACTATAAGCTAAAAGGAAGACAAAATATTACTGAAGGCTTCCTCTCACATTTTCACAAGGTAAGGTAGCACATGTATACTTGCCACCCTATTTGCATGGAGTAGGAAACCATGACCAATTTTGTCCTCTCAATAGCTGTAGTTTCAGTAATCCTGTTTTAGTCCAGAATTCAAAAGTACAGTTAAGTATCTTACCCAGCAAATATGCTCACTTTTAATTTTATGCATGACCTTCACTACAGCAAGAGAGAACCTCTGGCCCACTGGCCTAATCCGACCTGCAGCATTTCCCCATCTGGCCCATGGAAATTGTCTGCTAATGCCACCTCTCAACAGGAAAGAAGAATCTCGACTCATCTCTCTGATCATTCATCAGAGAGGGTCCTTTCTCTTCCTCTCAGTGGTAAAGAAGGGCTGCCTTTCTCTATGGTTGAGAGAAACTTCTTTGTGTTCAAATGTTGCACTGATTTTCTCATGGACATTCTCACAGAATTTCTCTTTCTACATCCCTATGATGTCATGGACTTTAAATGGAAAGTGGAGGAGCTTTAGGAAGGGGTGTCCACCCCGTGATGTCATTTAGTAGGCAGGTTTGGGAGGTCATATGGCCTTCAGGGGCTAAACAGTTTCCACCTGTGCTTTACTGAAATACCATGTGCAAAGAAATCTTTGTGAAAGCTTGAATAAGTCAAAAATAATATTCCCACAAAAAAAAAGAAAGAAAAAGAAAAGTCCTTGTAACAGGAGAAAGCACCTTGTCAAAAACTCCAGGGCTTGTTTGTTTTTTCTTCCTTTTTGCACATTCATTCCAAAAAGAGTCTTTGTGTGGCCAGCCCTTTGGCATAAGAAGGAATAATCACTGCAAATTTAATGTAGCTTGTGCCTGGAGATGAAAAGTTCTGTTAATTGAACTTATAGGCATTTGGCAAGGACAGTTGTTCACTGCAATTTTTATAAAGCGCTGAAATATTTGTATGAATTCATAAGTGAAATGAATAGATGAATGTGGGATTAGGAACCCAGTGCAGAACAAAATCATTAAATGAGAAAAGTTTTGAGTCAGTTTTTGCTACGCTGGAGATAGTGAGAGGTGCATCCTCTGTTTCTGCTCTGAACATGAACACCAGTGCCAAGGGGGATGTGGATTCTGATTTATTTGGTCAGTACATGGGACTTAAGAAATGCTTTTCTTTTTCTGAAATAAGACTATGTGAAGAGGTGAAACTGCCTGCACAGAAGAGGCAAATGAGACACTCATACAACGAGCAGTGGAAGCTGCAACATGTCAATAGTGGCATCTTCCATGGGTCTGTATTGGGAGCTGCACCTTTTTAACTTACCTGTAAGTGACCTGGATTTAGGGGCAAGCAGCAAGGTGGCAAGGTTTGCTGAAGATGCTCAAGTAATATGGGGGTCAAAACAAAAAGGCAATGATCTCTCCAAACCAGAAATGGGCACTGAAATGGCAAACGCACCTCAATACAGGCAAGTGATACACTTTGGGGCAAAAAGGCTTAACTTTATATATATGCGGACACAGTCTGAGCTGGCAGCAACTGGCAAGGAAAAGGATCTTGAGGTTATTGTCGATAGCCTGGTGAAAACATTGACCCTGGTGTGGAAAAGGAGACAGGTGTGACAGGTGTGGAAAAGGAGAATTTCATGTTGCACATTATAAGGATAGGAACTGAAAATTAAACTGTATAACTTCTTTATACAAATCTGCGTGTGATCGCACTTGGAATACTGTGCAGATTTCTGCACAGTGCATGTAAAAAGGAGATAATACAGTTAGGAAGGAGCAGAAAAGAACAATCAAAATGATCAAGACTAGATCAATATCTCTGTGATGAAGGTTACAACATTTAGGACTTCCTCATTTAGGAAAAAGGTGAGAGAATGGGAATACAACCGATGTATATAAAATTATACAAGTTATGGAAAAAGGGAGTAGGGAAATGTTTATATTAGTACCTAGAGAGATTGAATGAAGCTAAATGGTGGGAGAGTCAGAAAAGCCAGAATATCGTTAAATTATACAATTTGTGACCACAGAATGTAATGATGGCCAACAGCCTGGATGTTTTTAAAAGAGAGTTAAATGAGAGAGAAAGCTATCATTGGCTATTACTGGCATTGGCTACATATTACCCTCCAGTATGCCTCTGTGCCGAGTGTTGCTGGGGAACATGAACAAGGGGGTGTTATTGTGTGTGCATCCTGCTTATGTGTTTGTAATAGGCATTTGGTTGGCTGCTATGGGAACAGAATGCTCTATGAAGTAGGCCTTTGGTCTGACCCAGCCTGGCTCTTCTTGGGATCTTTGCAAACACAGAAAGAACAGCTCTGTTGGAAAAAGCACTAATGTAGGAAACAGGAATGGGGATTTGAGTCCTGCACTAGAGAAATGTTGGACTGAACTACACAAGGAAAAATAATGCAGCAACAGTCATGCTGGAAACCAAAAGAGGTGGAGGAGGCAAATCTAGAAACTAGACAGTATCTGCAAGCCACAGAGCAGCATGAAAGGCACATCCTAGGATGCCTGCAATTCCCTAGGCATCCAACCATATCAGATACTGCTAAGAGGATTTAATTGCAAACCACTGCTCAGACCACTGTGAAATGGCATAGATTTAATACACGAATTCATATGCTGGCAAGGTCCTTCCTGCAGAAAAGGGTCTAATGCATACCTAAGCACCCACTTCAGAAAGCTAATGTCCAACTCACACGTCAGGATTGCTCTCATGCT